ACAGATGTGAAAGATGCTTATGTGGTTTTGCACTTCAATGTTTTTGAAGAAATCTTCTTGTACATTTCTCTGAGATCTGCTCTTTCTAGATATTTTAGCTAATTTGAGACTTATTGATTCTAGAATAGATATACGATCTCATATGAACATCAAATGTAGATATATTTGGATAAAGTTTTCTTTCTCGTAAGTATTGTTGTGCGTTAGAATTTAACCAATAACTAAATAAAATTTCTTCAATATTCAATGATATTTTTTCCACATTTTCGGAAAGGTTCGAAGAAAAATCACTAAACTCTCAAAAATTTCTTTCTTCAAAATTGTTCGGTTGAATTTCAACTAACAAAAGGATTTATGAGGAAAAACCCTCATTAAAATTTTCTCTTCTTATATGTAATGTTCATATGTGACTATATGACCATTCCAGAATCAGTAAGTCTCAAATTAGTTGAAGTGTCTAGAAAAGACAGATACCCAAAGCCTGATAACATCAGTGCAAATTGTCCGACCTAGAGAATTTTAGACAGATGAGTGTCTAAAATCGGTTATCCATCGACACTAGAAGTATATAAGTTAGAACTATTAGAAACAATTACAAACTGTTTCAAGCGTCTTGTCTAAACATGCAAACCGTCTTATTTATACATAGTCAGATGTCAAAGACCGATGCCGAATGCTTTCTATAGCAGATTCAAAAGTTACTAATGCACTTTCATCGAACGTCTCGGGCAATGAATAGTTTGAGAGAAAAATATATCATACGACTCACCAATTTATTCTGATTCCAAACATGTATCTCTAGTTGGGGGCAAACATTCTAGAGAATTGTTTAAAGTGAGTTAAGTTCTGATAGTACTGATGTCTTCAAATTTTCTACATTATTGTTATAACAAACACTGCGTGATTTTTTCAACGGAAAACTAGTCTTGAAAATTTGACCTATCTATGACATCACACGGAACGTTTATATGATATTAAGCTGGATGCTTTATTTATATGATTGTGATGATTATTACTGATGAAATCTTTTATATCTAATGTTTTTCTAAAACAGATTGTTTGTTTTTAAATCAAAAACACCTTTAATACACTATTTCCAATTTTTGCTGCTATCTCAATATTCTTCTTATTCTACTATTTTACTGATGAAGGTGTGGGCATGGGTGTGGGTGTGAGAGTGTGGGTGTGGGGTGTGAGTGCGAGTGCAGGTGTGAGTGTGCGTGAGGGTATTCATTTTATTCCATACAATGGGTTATTTAAATTCAATCTGAATTTAAAAAGAAAAAAGAGCACTTGATTTCAAATTGAAATAGGGACTAAGGGGACTAAGCTGACTAACTAAGGGGACTAAGGGGACTAAGGGGACTATTCAGTGAGGAAGCGTGTTTCCCCACATAACACACCTTTTATTTCAGCGTCGCGGCGTGGGGGCGCGAAGCGCCCCCCGAAGAGCCGCGACCCATGCACGTCTCTGTGTACACCATTATTCCTACCCTTAGGCCGGTTAGTTAGTCCCCTTAGTCCCCTTAGTTAGTCATCTTAGTTAGTCACCTTAGTCCCCTTAGTTAGTCATCTTAGTTAGTCACCTTAGTCCCCTTAGTTCCTCTGTCTTGGTAAAAATGGGCTGTTATTTTTTTTTCAAAATTCAATTTGAATTAAAAAAACCCATAGACTCTTTTATTCATAACGACACCCCACACTCACACCCACACCTACATTCACACCCACACCCAATAATAGGACTTGATGACCCAAGGGTACCTCTCAATAATAGGACTTGAGGACCCAAGGGTATTCTGCAATAATAGGACTTGAGGACCCAAGGGTACCCCCAACAGAAGGACTTGAGAACCCAAGGGTACCTCTCAATAATAGGACTTCAGGGCCCACGGGTACCCTCTAATAGTAGCACTTGAGGACCCAAGGGTACCTCCCAATAATAGAAGTTGATGACCCAAAGGTACCCTCAATAGTAGGAGTTGAGGACCCAAGGATACCTCTCAATAATAGCATTTGAGGACCCAAGGGTATCCCCGAATAGTAGCACTTGAGGACCCAAGGGTACCCTTCAATAATAGGACTTGAAGACCCAAGGATACCCTCGGATAGTACCGCTTGAGGACCCAAGGGTATCGTCCAATAATAGGACTTGAGGGCCCAAGGGTGCCTCCCAATAATAGGAGTTGAGGACCCAAAGGTACCACCAATAGTAGGACTTGAGGACCCAAGGATACCTCTCAATAATAGCATTTGAGGACCCAAGGGTATCCCCGAATAGTAGCACTTGAGGACCCAAGAGTACCCTTCAATAATAGGGCTTGAGGACCCAAGGGTACCCTCCAATAATAGGACTTGAAGACCCAAGGGTACCTCCCAATAATAGGAGTTGAGAACCCAAGGGTACCCCCAATAGTAGGACTTGAGGACCCCAGAGTACCTCTCAATAGTAGGACTAGAGGACCCAAGGGTACCTTCCAATAGTAGCACTTGAGAACCCAAGGGTACCTCCCAATAGTAGGACTTCAGGACCCAAGGGTATCCCGCAATAGTATGGCCGTTACCCCGTTCGTCGGTAACTGGTAACGGTAACTTCCCACCCCTAATTATGGATACCGGCTTTATAGCAAAATATGGTTTTAAACATAAACTATTATGCAAGTGAACCGGTTACCGGTTCAACGGTTGCCGGTTCAGACCGGTTACCGGTTCAACGGTTACCGGTTCAGACCGGTTACCGGTTCAACGGTTACCGGTTCAGACCGGTTACCGGTTCAACGGTTACCGGTTCAGACCGGTTACCGGTTCAACGGTTACCGATTAGGCCGGTTTTCGTCACCGTTGCACCCCTACTCTGATCCATTATACTGAAGAAATAAAAATGAAAGTATCAGTAAAATGAACTGGAAAGTTTTCTTTTGTATTTTTTTTAAATTTTTTTAAATAAATCTAGTTTCAGACAGGATAGAAAGTGTTGAGAAAAATGGGAAGAAATTTTTTTGTTAAAAAACTCAACACGATAAAACAAAGGGCATCAATGTCAAAAACTTGGTTGGTTAGCAGAAATCGACCAATGAAATAATTTCTAAGGTGCATTAATGCACTTTGGTAATTATTCTAAACCCCCCTCATAATAGAAGACCCCCATATATTACAAGACCCTCCCATAATAGAAGACCCCTTTTGGAATATTATGTGAAATTCATAAAAGAAGACCCGGGTCTTGTACTACATTCTTCATCGAAATTTTCTTAGAATTATTTGTATAAATATTATTTCTGCAAAATGATGTCTTGTCGACGACAGAATCATAAAATAAAAGAAGACAGTAAGGGTTTCTGTTCATGGAGAGAGAATATATTATCTTTCTGGTCGTTTGTGCACAGAAATTCATATTAGAAGACCTCCCGTAATAGAAGACCTCCCGTAATAGAAGACCCCTTTTGTAATATGATATGAAATTCATAATAGAAGATCCGGGGGTCTTTTATTATGAGAGGGGTTTACTTTATAGGTAATCAAATAGTCTCAAGTATTGATCACATAACGAAAGCAGTTAAAACTATTGGGAGAAAAACAAGATTTTTCACTTTACTTTTTGAAGCCAAGTTTAATTGGTTTACTATATGAAAAAGTATATATTTATATGACTTGAGTTAAAATGTAGTCTTTTTTCTCAAAATAAATTCTTACATAACAAAAGCCAACACAAGAATAAATGAAAAGAATTTAATGTCATTATATCACGATCAAAGTATCTGTTTATTTTTTTGCTTGTTGAAGAACTTTTTTTACTTCATTAAGATAATCAGTATCAGTTTTCAAAAAGCCAGTTTTATATTGATCGACTAATTGCTGCAATTGTGCAATTTTTTCTTCTTGTTCCTAGAAGTGAAAAAATAATGTTAAAAAAATGTTGTACTCATACCCGTTTCCTTTCACAAAATATTTAAAAAACAACACTTAGGCAGTAGAGTATAGGCAAATACAGATTGAAAGTTACATAATAAAGTATAAGTACAACATTTTTTTAACATTATTTTTTCACTTCTAGGAAGAAGAAGAAAAAATTGCACAATTGCACCAATTAGTCGATGAATAAAAAAATGGCTTATTGAAAACTGATACTGATTATCTTAATGAAGTAAAAAAAGTTCTTGAACAAGCAAAAAAATACACAGTAAAAAAATAATAATCTTTTTTTAATACTCAATTCATTCAGTGTCAATATCATTATGTAGTGAGGTTTTGCAGATTTGAACAAATTCTTTCTTTTCAGTATTTTTACAATTCATATGTCATTTGTTGTTCTTGAGGATAATGTATAGGCATTCTATTCACATGCATCCACACCTATTTTAGGCTTGAAAGAAACACATTGGTATGCATTGACTTAGTAGAATCGAAGTTATATTATCGTTTAAACATGTTGGTTTTTTTTTGATTTATCTAATGAAACTTGTGTATATGGTACAAAGACAGAACATTCGAGTTGACGTGACACTCATTAGGTGAAGAGCAGATTTCTAAGTTGAATTTTGATATTTGTGTTATGGAATACACCGAGTTTGAGATGCATTGAAAATCCGAATATTCATTTGAGAAGCCCTTATTCAATAAAAGTGCAGTACTGCGAACTTCTACATATACAATACTCTAAATGTCTTCTTTCTCTTACCATACCAATTTACCAATTATTTTCTAGAGGGCTGATTAAGAGAGATTCGTTTCACTTTATGCTCAAACACTAATCAACGACCGTGTGTCACAAAAACACAACTACACTATTTGTTATCAGTAACACAATCGTCATTAGTTTCTTATACAAACTATCAAGCAAGATACATCTTCTGAAGAACATGTGAAGAGCAAAAAAAAAAGTAAAACAGAATCTTAGTCATTACAAAAACATTCACCTACATTAGAAGTAAATATAATTTGTTGAATTTTATATTCTACATTATATACGTAAGTTTTTTCAATAAAACTCGATAGGAATAAAAATGACATCATGTGGAAGAATTATTCTTGGCTTTTTAATTATTCTTACAATTGGTGTTTTTATAATACAAATCTATTTTGGTATGCAGTATCTTTACAAACCAGTTGCTTGTGAACGTTCTAAATTTCTGACAATCTTAACATTGGCTGGAGGCTGCAGTGGTATTTTATCAGTAATATTTCTCTCATGTTGTTGTCATGGCTTGGGTTTCGGATTAAGATCATCAAATCCTGATCGTAACAAGCGACAAATCTTCTATTGATCATGCAATTCGACTTGCAGAGAACAAACATCATGCCTTGTAAAAGAAATAATAAATTGATATTGTAAATATCACGTTGAATTCTGTATCGTATTGATAATGGTACTGATTTGAAACTTTGTTTTGCTTTAACAAATAACAAAGGAATTTAAAAGAGATTAGTGTAATTGTTTTCGGATTGAATCAGAACATAGTTTTATTGTGAAACAGACTAGTTGAATGTGTGCAACGACTGAGTGAAGCGCAAGGTGCACAAGCTAACTCCAAAACCTCATATCTCAGTGATCCTCTGCGTACTCTTATGAATTCTATTGAAATCATATGAACCCATTCTAGAATTCATAATGGTGCACTAGGATCCAAGAAGTCAAAGTTCATTTTTATTCATCATTGGAAATAACATATTCTTCTGTCCCTGCAACAGTTAAGATTATTACAACAATATCTAACACTTGTTACGATTTTGAAATTTTCTTCTTATTATTTTACTAGATACTAGACCACAAGATGCATAGTCAACAAATAATTGTTTATGTCTTGTAAAGTTAACTGAATCCTCGTAATATCTTTCATATTATCTAACATTATGACATTATCAATTCTTGAAATATATAAAAGTAGATAAACAAGGCTATGTAGATTGAATTTATTACAGAATCTCATTAGAGATTTCAGCAATTGTGCATATAACTAAAAATTAAAACAAAAACAAAATTGAATCTAAAATTCATCTCATCTTTCTTATCAATGAGTTCCTTTGATGAGTGTTTTATTTTTCATATTTAGACATACAACAATCACATATTCGATCTCAATAATGTTTGACCATTTGCAACATATTGTTAGGGAAAGTAAAATAAATAACCGATCTACCAGGCTTATCTTATAGCAATATATCGGTGAAAACAAATAATCGCTCTTCATATGAGATATTTTCTTTTTGTTGAATCATTGCTTTTATGATATCAACTATGCTCTATGACTGAAGCGTTAGTTTAACGGTCTACTCATTTATTTCGATGAACAATCGTATATTTTTAAAATTAATAAGTTTTCACTTCTATTCGTTGAAAAAAATCAAAACATTATGAATAATTTTTCTGAAAATTCATTTTCACATTGAAGAATAACAAGCTTACGAAGAAGTTCATTTTAGAAAAGTTCATTCACAGTGAATATGAGCACAAAATTTAATTGAGTAACACTTGATTACTTTGAGCAAAGCAAAAAATAATTATATAGAAAAAGAAAACCGGTCTTGGGTCAGAAACATTCAAATTGTACGAAATTTTCAGAATATATTAGAGCTAGTGTGCAGAGACTATGGTAAACTTTTCGGCTCTATATGAGGATATCTTCGGGAGATATTTAACAAACAAGAGTTAATTATAGCTCATTTGGCAAATCAAAATTCTATATCCTTTATTTTTTGTTTGACAGAACATGTCAGGATGGAGTGCAGTACAAAGTTCTGTTTTTTACTTCTTACTTTTCAAGTAAAGAAAAAAGGCATGACAAGTTCAATGACTTGAACAACTCTTGAAAACTGAGTGTCTATATATACAAATGTTTGGATAGATATATAATAGAAATAATGCTTAGTTTAAAGAAAAAAGGTCATGTACTGAACTGCATCGTAACATGCATTCTCCAACAAAAAAAACTCTTGGTGACAATGAAGATCCTTTGAGTAATCTGGAATGCGCGATCGAGAACTTTTGAAGCGAGAAGACACAAAAAAAGAGTGTGGATTTTTTCCAAAAATAGCTTATTTTTTGAATAGGGGATGACGGAAATTTTCAAAAAATTTCTCGGAAAAACAAAGTGTCAAGTTGAATTTCGTGCCATTTATGAGATCAGATCACGGGCTATCTTTTCTTGCATTTATCTTTATTTTGATCATTTTGACAGAACGTGTCTTTTTTGAAAGAACCTTAAATAAACTTTTTTATTTTGAAATACATTAAGAAATAAAACAAATATCATCATAAGACTACGTCAGATAAGAATGTTTTACAATCGATAAAAGTCGATTAAATGATACAAATTTATGCATTACATATTTTTAAAAATGTACACAACTTTATTAGATGACAATGGTAGTTCTTTCTTTAAACTGAAAATAACTCGTAGTAAAATTTGTCCAACTGATTTATTATCTTTTCATGATGGTAGTCAGACTTGTTTTCGATCAATCAACTGCTAAACATTAATTTCACACATTCCTAGTATTTTTTTTTTCGTTACGTATCGTAGTAAAAAATTGATCTTGTTGTTGAACTCACATAGTCAAACGATCAGCATATGAATAAAAATTTTACAAACAAAATGGACTATTACCAAATGTTTATTGTGAATTTGAATTTGTCGAATTCAAATCAGCTTGTGTCATTTGAAAACTTCGTTGATTACATTCAATAATAACATAAGAACATTTTGATGAAGAGATAGATAATGCGATTATTGGCAATCGTGATTCATCTAAATCTTGCGCACAAAGAATAGTTATCATAATTTGACTAGAAATTCCATCTATAGGAGGCATATATAGCTTGAAGTCTCTGCTTTTGTTTATTATTTTGTTGTGATTCAACTCATTATGATCAAGAGGGTGTTTTCACTAATTTTGAACTTGATTTATTCCAGCGTTTAAACCATGATTTTCTAACTTCGAAGGAACGAGACATGTTGTTATATTAGTTAAACGTTCCATCAAAAGAAATGAATTATTTTTTATTGATGAAGTGTCATTCATAAACGAAATAAAATTTTTATATAGAGAAAATATTTAAATAAAGATAGAGACCATTGATGTGTAAGAGTTTTGTAAAGATATGGTTTATTTTAATAAAAATTTAGTTCTTTCTTGATTTTCCACATCTCTAAGCAAATAGCTATGTCATCAGTACTCCGCTAGTTATTTATTTGAACTGATTTTCTTTGAACAAGGAGTAAAAAAAAAAGTTGAAAATAATTAGCTGAACAGTTATTTAATCGCAAGTCATAATTTATAAGTATTCACAGTTATTTAAATATCATTTGTATGCTTAATGATTTTGATTGTTTTGTAGCAAGGATGAGAAAGATTAGATATACGAGAGTGCATAAAAAAAAATAAAATTGTTCTGTTATTTGAGTTGAGAACTGCTGAAATTATTTATTGAATGTTTATAGTAAGTCCGAAAAAGATGTGTGTAGAAATGTTTCAAAAATGATGCGTTGATTAGGATTGAATAATATGAAATAAAAGTAGTAAAAGAACAAAGTAATAAATAAATACCAATTGTACCTCGTATATTTGATGTTATGTTAACTTTCAATAATAAGAATTAATCTTCAAGTTATTAACGGCTTTCTCGTAGAAAATATATATGTCTATGAGTCAGTGTACAAAAAGCAATATATTGATGATAGACATTTGAATATAAAGTAGTAAAATTGATTAGGAAGAGATGCGACTGTAGCACAGCAAACAAATATAAGAAGTATTAAATGTCAGTAAGAGAAAATGACCCATTATATAAATTCTCAAAGAAACACTATTAAAAGCAAGAATCAAGAATATGATATAATGAATTGAAAAGACGTTGATGAAAAAAAAAACTCAATAGAAACTATCACACAAGAGAATCAGCTATTTAAGTTATTTAAAATCTGTATATTTTTTTTCTCGACTAGTTCTTTAACCTATTGAAGATAATTTTTTAATAACATTAGATTCAAATGACTTATAACATACTGAAAATCAATAAATCAAATATTGTTAGACAGTGGGCATCTATTTAAATCATAGAATAACTGTTTATCTATCTTTAGTTTGCTATCAAATTCATTTGAATAGTTATTTAAATGATTCAATACGGTAGATTGTAAATAGCTAGTTACATGAAGACATGAAACAAATGAAAAGTTGTTGTAAAGCAATCAGCTATATAAAATCATTTTAATAACTTTATATTATTTTAAAAAAAAAAGTATCTCTTTGAGAAGCTACGATTCATAATACAATTGACGTTCCGCTTCAACGCATCTATCAGAAGTATGATTAATAATGAGTAACTCATGATAAATAGTTATTTCTCATATCTCATGTTAATTACACTATGAAATAAAACCATTTAAAATCATGTTCTAAAGAAGTGCATTCTCTTGACAAACATCTTTGATGTAAATCAAAAGTCTATAGAACTTTTCTTCGTTATTATGCGACATCTCTGCAGATATTACAATTGATTACTCGACATAACGAATCATTGAAAAATTCTATGTAAAGAAATAACATCAATGCTCTTGATTGAAGTATTTCTTTATTTTTCCTATTATTCTTGAAATTTCATCAAAATGTCGGAGACTCTGTGCTTTTTCCAACGATTTTGAAAATAAATAAGGAAATAAGTTTCTGTGGATACTGACAACAGTAAAATCTTATATGAAAACAAGAAGACTTTTCTATTTCAGATTTTAGCAATGGCACTCGTACCAAGTGATGAATTTACTTATTTTATTAAAATTTTGGATGATAATGGTGAACGATATTATCTAAAAAGTACAATTGATGAACAAAATAATACTATTTTAATACATTTGACAAATTTCAAACATAGTTGGGTAGGAGTAGGTAACTAATTTTTTGCTTGAATTTTTTTTTATTGTTTACTTTATATATGAAATATTTCAGTCAATCAAGAACAAGTTCGAACTTTAGCAAAAAAATTTCCATCCGAATCGAATGATTCATTTTATTCTCATACCCAACGTGCTTTTTCAAAAGGAAATACTGCAGAAATCGATGGAAGAACTTATGTATTTAATTGCAAAAAACTTGACAATAATGGACTTCAAGTATGTTGAATAATAAGAAAAAAAATGATATTCTACTATCTAATCAAATTTTTGATTATATTTTATGTTGATAATGATTAATAAGAAAATATATCGTTCGATTCTTTTTCGTGCTTTTTCTCTATATCTAATTGAATGCAAATCTAGCTCAGATTCAACATGGAGCATTAAAATATATCATTACTAAAACTTTTTAGCTGGACTCTGCTCTTCAGTTCGTAGTTCACCGATGAAATTAGCAAGAAAGTAGCAACTAAATTTCGAACTACTAAATATAAAGACAAAATAATTGATATGGGTTTAACCATGGATAATATGTAAGGATATGATAGTAGTGAAATTAATACATTTGCTCCGTGTATAGGATAATTATAAAAATATCATTGTTGAGCATAGGCCTCGATATGGAAGGAGCTTACGTAGGCTAGCCCTTCTTTCATTCCATTTGTTATACCATGTCTACGAAAATGCTGAGTTGTTGTCGGAAAACTATCTACCAAGTTTAAGAAGACAGCTTTTCTCAGCCATGTTCTACCGGATAGATTATTTGTGACTGCCTATCAACTTTTTATTCTCATCCACTGCTAAAAATTGTTGAGAACCATATTGCAGATGATGAAAACCCTATAACTAATAAATCACCTTTGGATCAACACTATGTGCATTATGTAGATGCAAATAAGTTATGACTATTTTCAACAGATTTCATTCTCTAAGTTTAATGCTGCGAAAATACTACAGATTTACAGTATTGTTTGAGTAAATGCCATGATCCTACTCAGGAACACTAGAAAAAAGAATTCTTCAGTGCTGATTTGAAACTTTACATAGAGACAGGTCTTAATAAGAATAAAAGTTCAGGTCATTTAATTTGCTTTTATTCTAAAATAAGAACATCAAATCTGTCGATTGATATGACCAATATAATAGACAGGCTATTACGATAGTTGTATTCTAGGATAATGACAATGACAAGATCTGCAACATCCACAAACAAACTATTTTCCTTAAGATCAATCTCTATGGAAAGTTTTAAGTCAAAACCTAAAAAGCACTTTTACGAAAGGCCTGAACTATTTTCAGAATATTCAAAACTCATTTGGTTCTAGATAATGCACATAGTCTCAACTCGAAAACAATTTATAAATCAGAAGACTTTCCTTGTGATTACACTTGCAACTTTACTTCAATTTAGTGGTTCCTAAGACTCAATCTAAAGTAGTATCGACTTCTATCGAACAATAATACAGTTCTGCAAAATTGTTTCGTTATTAATCAAGTGTAATTTTAGTTAATTGACTATTTTTCTATTTGTTTTTCAGTTTATTTGGAAAGAAAAAGTTGAAGCATTAAATTCGTTAAAGATTGTTGGTAGTATTGAACTTCAAGCAAGACCAAATGAAGAAGTAATTATTTTACCTATTTCATTTCTTTCTTTAATGATGATGCATTTAGGTCTTAACTAAAATAATGGATTATACTATTGGTGAAATGGAAACACTAAGATCCGAAAATCAACAAAAAATGGCTGAAATTCAACGTATTAATAGTCAATTAAATAAAGCTCTTGAAGTAAATAATATAACAATATTAATTTTCTATATCAATTAATTAGTGAGTGACGAATAATAAATAGAACACATTGCTTCTCTCTTTTCACGGCACTTTCCAACGTATTAGAGATTTTGGTTTATACTCGTTCGATAGAGAATTTTCTTCGCTACATATTCGACATTTTTGTTTTTCACGCAACGTTTTTCCTTTGTCACCCTAAAAATTAAGAGATGAGCACCTACTCGATCCATCTATTACCATTTTCGATTTATGTAAGCGTTTGCTCATCTGAATCGATGCTAAAAAAAGGTATTTCTCATGAATGAATAGAAAATTTTCTGTTCTCTATTACGTCGGTGACATGTTTGTTTTTGCGTCGTTGAGTGCAGCATTCTATTCTGAATACAATCGTATGATTGTTGATTTAAACAATAACAACATTAACTTATGTCAAATACAAAAATAGCATTAATTTTGTTGTCAGAAAAAAGGTTTTTTCCTATTTTTCCATGCATTTATTTCTTCTAAAATTCTAAAATATATATCAAAAGATGCGGTGTTTTATGAAGAACTTCGTAGCATATTTGAAATTTCAGCAAAATTTTTATGAAGTACGCTTCATTTTTTGACTGTTGCAGTCAAACGATGGCGTATGCTTTCATCTTTTACATTTTGCGTCGCCAAAAATAACTTATTTGAATAACAAAGGTCGTTGTTTTCTAGAACTGGAAACTATCCACGGAATTAGCCTAAACCGAAGTCTTTGATATGTTGGAAAGTCTCCTAAAACAAGGAAGACATTTTGTTATATTAATTATATACCATTCGTTATTCTTATTTTCTAGACAGTTAAACAAACAGTTAATCTAAAGGAACAACTTGAAGCTGATCTTTATCGAAAGGTAAATTAATTTTCAAATATCACTTTTATTAGGTACATCAAAATTATCACAAAGTAAATGTTTTTTTACATTTCTAAGCATTTTTACAAGCATTTGATCGACTTGAGGAACTTTTGTAATAAAATCATTAGAGATTTTTTCAACTAAAGATGGATAATCATTTTTAATAATTTCTCTCAAATGGAAATTGTTCACTTCTTGTAATGAAGTTTGAGGGAAACCACTAAATTCATTAATTATTGTAAGTGCATCAGAATAAGATGAAAGTAAAAATTCAAGTTCAGAACGTAAATTTTCTATCATCATTTCCTCTTCACAATCAAATAATCGATTTATTGTTGGCAATGAATGTCTATATTGGACTATATGTAATGTATTTGATATAATTTGTAATAAACCCCCAATTTCATCATTTTGTTTGAGATAATATTCAAATTGTTTATTTGAATTGATTGGTTTTATTAGATAGTTACATAGTTGATTAAAATTTGTTTGTGGTTGAATACCATTCAAACATAATTGTTTTAGATAAGACCAATATTTTGATATTTGATTGATATTTTCATTTGTTTGAATTTTTAAACGTTCGATAAGTTCTGTAACAGTATGCTCTAATTCTTTTTGACGTTTTTTATAATAATCGATTTCTTCCGAAGAAAGATATATGCATTGTAAGCGAGGTTCACAAGCAGGAACAGAAGCAGGAGGAGAATCGGAAGCAGGAGCAGATGGTGAATATTTTACTGTTTGAACAGGACTTTCTTCAATTGAAAGTTGCGGTTGAAAAACAAGTTGAAATAAGCATGATTGTGAGGATGAAGATAAAGAATTGGTAAATAGACTTGTATAAGACTCCTTTGTTTCACTAGAACTAAGTAAACGCATACGATTATTACGATTGAATTGTTCTTTAGTGTCAGCTTGCGATAAACCAGCGACATCTGTTGTAGTATTGTTTTTCACTAGTATCTTTTTATCTTTATTCAATGTTTTTCCAAAATGAAATGATTTTGATACAGCTATTTGGTTATTAGGCTTTTGTTCAGTTGACGAAACATCAAAAGAATTCGATTGTACTTGACTTTGCTGACATTGAAAACATATATCAAATTGATTTGATGAGTTAACCTTTTTACATATCTTACATAAGGCTGTATTCACTAGTGAATATTTAGTTGAATTTGTTTCTGTTATTGGTTGATTGTCGTGTTTTAATGGATAATTATTCACATCTATTGATATTGGACACATAGACAAAATCATAGACGAAATTGATGGAGTACTACTCGGTGGTGAAATAGATAGTTTTGAAGATGAAATTGAACGAGTATCATTTTCAAGAAGCTGCATTTGTTAATGATATTGAGTAGAAACTTCGATTTGATCTAGAATGCTTTCAAAAAACCAACGTTGTCAAAATGACATATATATGCGTCGTTTGTAAACCTTATATGATATTTATGCTGAAATGATTTTTTTTTTGCTTTCTGATCAACACATTAATTTACCTATTTGTTATTCATAAAAAGAAATCGCAGACTCCTACTCATTATATGCATGAATAGTGTCTATTCAACGATTAAAAGCAAAAATATTTTATTAATTTTGATAGATACGAAGGCAATATAAGGGAAATTTTCTAAAAGGTGCTTTGCATACTGTATTTAATTTCGGAGAAATTCAAAATTGATTTTTCTAAAGAAAAAAAACATTTTTCTTTATTAAATTTCTTTAATACAATCTTTGATACAGTTATGAATAAAGGTATATTAACATATATCATTACATAGACGATAATTAGGACATGTCATGTGACGAAGAAAATTAATTTTGGTTATTATTTTATGCATATTGTATCTTTTCAATGTTTATCATGATCAACTTTGTAAAAAGCTACTCAAATGTAGGCTAGACAATAAAAATCATTGATGCATAACCTTGAAATTCAAAAAAAAAGTGTCCTACCAAAAACTTCATTAGAAATGTCAGAACTAAGAGAAATAAATCAAATTTGTTTGTTTTTTTTTGTTTCTTTTAGTTTGTTCTTGTATTGAATACAAAAAAGGCTGAATTATCAAAACTTAAACATCAAATTGAATCATATCAAAATGAATATCCTAGAACAGAAAATGGTTAATTTATTTTTAGTATTTTCTAAAATAAAGAAGTTTTTTGTGCAGAGAATGAATCATATGCTAATTCACAATCTCAAAGTACGTCACCTATACATACAACAACAATGGATAATATCGAACGTTTAACAAATAAACGTACTAGACTTCAAATGAGTCATACAGATACAAGCGAAGATGATGAAATACAAGATGTAAATTAAATAATTTATTTTATCAAATTATTTTTATTTGATAATTAAAGATTAACATTCCAATTCGCTCATCAAAACTAAAGATTGTTGATAATAATCAAGATAGTTCACTTGATTTAGGTGATGATCGAATGGATTATAAAACAGCGACAATTAGCAAACATCATCCACGGTATGAAACAAAAACACAAAGAGGACTTTGTCTTATGTTGTTTATTATTTTCTAGACGAAATTATGTTACTGGTGTCAATTCAATTTCTATTCGTCCGTTTGTTAAGTATGAAAATATTTTATTTATTTTATGAAAAACAATCTAAAAGAAGTCTTGAAGTATCTAGGATAGAAGTTTGAATCTCCTCTCCTCACTACAGCTCATCAAGTCCAACATTTTCGGTCTTCAACTAACTCTGACCTACGATCCATTCGACGGGTACTACTTACAAATCATGACAGATATTTGGAGGATTAAGTCCGAGAATGATGAATAAATGTATTCCAAAATAGATATAATAAAACAAACTTTCTTTCATTACTTAGAGCTGCTACATTGTATTTCATAATTAAAAACTACAAGAATTACGCTAACAACTTTATTTTATTTACATATTTAGTCATGCAAGTGTTTCTTCAACAGTTGCAACACCTTCATTACCCGATGATTCTCAAACAACCGATGACTTATTGAATAAAATATAATTTGAAATATAGTTTTGCTTTTTTTATATTTATCTGATCATTGTCCAGTGTGATTATATTTTAATAAAGATTTATCGTTTATTATATGTTGTAGATAAGCATGAGTGAAAAAGAAAATAGCTATTCATGTGTTGTTTGTACATATGTACAATCTATTGATATACCAAAGTGTGAAATGGTATGTTTTTCTTTTTCTTTTTCAAATTTAGTTTATTGGTCTATTAAATCTAGTGTGAAACACCGAATCCTTTTCGTTCAAAACCAACAAAATCAGATGATACAACATACAGTAATGGCACAACTCTATGTCCAACATGTACTTTTATAAATAGTGGTAACCATGTTAGAGGTTCGATTTGTTTGAACTATTAACAAATATATATTCTTTTTTTTTATGTATGCTTTTCGTAGTTTGTGAAATGTGCGGACATGAATTTGATGCCGGTAGTAATCCCTCCAAAAAGTTTCGAGTAGATAAAAATGAAGACAAAGAAGAAGAAGAAGATGATGATGATGATGATGATGATGACGATGATTATAATGGTTATAATGATTTCGATGACAGACTATATGAACCATCGATGCCACAAAATAAAGATAAGAAACGAAAACCTATTGAAGCAGTAGAAAAACCAATGAATGATAATGAATTAAAATCCTATTATAATCGATATATATCTGTACTTAAAGAACAACGACAACAAACAAAAAAAATTTCCGATAAACAATTACATGAGATTATTTTAGAACTTTTTCATTCCCTTCAATATAAAAATGAACAACCAGAAGGTAAATCATTTATAAAAAAGAGAGAGAGAAATCGATTGATAAATAATGGATTTTTGTAGGCCAATTGATCTTTCGTTGCTGTCAAATTTGTTATGATAATGATGAACCTGTGATTACAATGAATGTAAGCATTTATAAAATAAGAACTTTTTTCATATAAACCTAATAAAGAAACGATAACATTCATCATCCCCCATTAAAGAATTTGTGTTTTTTAAGACGTGATTTGCTATAATTATATCTATTTTCATAAGACTAATTTTAAATAAATAATTTCGGTTTTTAATTATTTCTTCTCGAGATTTAAAATGTATAGGTTTTAATAGACGATATTAACTTTTTGAGTTTCCCTCAACAAAACACTTTTTTTTTAAAGTTATGTTTCAAAAAAATTAAGCGGGAGGTCTTTTCAGGACATAGATATGATCTTTAAAATAAACAGCTTCATATTGAGTACTCTTTTCGTATAATTAAATCTCAATTATTTATAAAATCGCAGTATAAAAATGTCGCGAGTTCGAGATACGTGGAATCAAGAATTTCTTGGTTCGACACTTAACATGTTTTCTTCTGGCACTGATCTAAATACAATTTAAAAAAAATATTTATTTTATTATCATATCGTAATACTCACGATTGAAATTTGTTGAGATATCGCCTATTAGAACTTTTGTCTTAGTTTTTGTACAAGAATAGTCGAATAATCTTTGAAAAACCAAAGTATTAATATCGATGAAAAATTTTTCTACACATTTTTGTATTTCTCTATTGTGATTCGAAACTAATAATTGGGATCTTGATTTATATATCAGCTTATAGATCAGAAATTATCCTACAAAATGTACTATTTGAAGTTTTTTTTTGTCCTTCGACAAAGCATCTCAATTTTCGCTGTTTCAAATTGTCGTTCTCGAGAAATTGAGATTTGTTTTATGTTGAAAGGAATTCATGAAAAAATACTTTTAGTATTATATGAGTAAAATCTACAGCTGAGTTCAATGTCATATTTTGTAAAGAAATGTCAGCCTTATTTGTGTCTTGATACGAAGGTTGTTGATAGGTTTGATATGATTGCATACTCTTCCACAGATTTATTTAGATTTTATTATTTCTTTATAATTTAAATGACGCTTCGTCTTTCGAAGACGACTTTATCAAACTGACACAAAAAAAATTTTGACAAATGAATTGATCACATAAGTAGAATAGGAAAGAAAGACAGAACAGGCTGTATGTTTTTTTAGTCTAATTTCGATAGTGATACGGAAAGAGTTTAACTTGTATAGTCATTGCTATTACTGCCTTGTTTTTTCCGTATCACTATCGAAATTAGACAAAAAAATACAGCCTGTTCTGTTTTTCTTTTCTTTTCTTTCATTATATTCTACTTATGTGACCAATTCATTTGTCAAAATTCTTTTTTTATGTAAGTTTGATAAAGTCTTCTTCGAAAGACGAAGCATCACTTAAAGTATAAAGAAATAATAAAATCTAAATAAATCTGTGGAAGAGTATTCAATTATGTCAAACCTATTGTCTGTTCTATAAAATGACCGAATCTGATACTTTTTTTTAGTATAGCTGAAAAGAAACTTGTAGGATAGACAAATAATCTATTGACTTACCATAAAAAATATTTTTCAACTCATTCAAAAAGTCCTTCACTACTCTTAAACTGAAATAGAAACACCATTTCTAGGTCCATGTTATAATTTTGATTGCAACCTATTGCTTTTGGTTCAATTGACATGCTTTGAAGCAGGCCAATATGTTTACTAGAAATATCGGTTCATAAGTTCCGTCTAAACTAGTGTTGTAATCTTCTCAAAGATTCTTTCACTTACTTCTTAAAAAAAGCGACACAACATTTCTAAGCTAATATTCGAAACGAGCACAAAATTCTGATCCTAGATGATAGCTTTTGACTTGTGGACAATCCTTTCTAATAGATTAAAAGTGAACAAACATCTTACATAATAACTTTTCGATCACGCATTGCGTTAATCTTATGAAAACCTATATATATCTAACGTCAAAAATAAACAGAACCTTTGGATATTCTCTCCTCTATTTAAGTAGAGATACCTGAAATTAGTAAATCTAGTTATTTGAATCAAAATAGTTTTCATTTGTTTCAATTGTGTGTAACTATCTAAATAGGCTTGTGGTCATCGTATGATATGTCCAGATGATTTTCATCAATATTTATCTATGCGTATTCGTGATGGAGATCTTCTTCCATGGATTCCATGTCCTGCAGAAATATGTAGCGTTCCATGTGATGCTAAAAATATAATTGAAGATGGTCGCTTAACACATTCAGAACTTCTATCATTTACAACAACATATATGTTAAAAAAATTATCTCGTAATGAAAATTTTATTACATGCATTCAATGTGAACAAGGTGGTTTTCTTCAAATTGGTGCACCAAAAAAACAAGAAGTCACATGTCAAATATGTAATGTTAAACAAACAATTGAAAAAGGATCAGATGGAGATCTTGATATAAGTATGTACATCTCTTTTTTTTCTTTTATTTCATTATTTTATTTATTATTTCATATGATAAAAAAAAAATAATTTAGCTTTCAAACAAATGATTCAATCTGGACAATTACGTGAATGTCCAACATGTCGTCATTTAACCTTAAAAGAAAAAGGTTTATGCAATGTTATTGAATGTGCCAAATGTGGAATTTGGTGGAATTGGAGAACAAGAGAACAAGGTCATAATGGAAAAGATTTAAAACAAAAAGCTCGAATGAATGGAACACTTTGGGAACCTGGTTTGAAAAATAAAAATCTTCCTTTGATTTTAGACCGTTTCTTTTTGTTCTGTTTATTTTTAGGTGAGCTTCGATATCAACAAGAATTAGAACGAAATAATCCAATGGAATTTAAAGCTTTATTAGAACGAAATGGAATTAAATATGATCCAAATTATATACGTGGTGGATGGAATGAAGACTAACTTGTTATTATTTTTTCTTCTAATCAAGACCAATATTTCAAAATAGCTTCCTTTTTGTTATAAAAATATTGCATTCGTGTGATTGTTTTCGTCCATTATCAGCTGATAATCCGGTTTTTCTTAAAAAAAATATAATCAAAAGTATTTCTTCTTTGATTTTTATATTAACTTAATATAAAAAACAAAATAATACTTGATATTGTAACAAATTTTTTGACACATGAAAATTTCTATACATCTTATTTTTATGATTCTTAAAATGATATGATGGTTATTATTAACTGTTTGTCCTCTCCTTGAGAAAATAAGTGTCTTTTTTTTGATATCATTCATCAATTGTAAGATATGCAAAGTAAAATGCTGTTGCGACTAAAAATTACGGAATGCTTCAAAATTTTCAAATGTAGAAAACACATAACTCCTCTCTTTTTAACTGCTTTTTTCTTGTTTTCGAAAACAGTGTAACCGATCAAGCTGAAAGTTTATCACATATACAGAACCAAACATAAAAGAGACATGTTTTTGAGGACAAACAATTCTGAAGTAGATCTTTGTGATTTTTTTCTGGCAAGTCTTGGTTTTTGTAGAGCAACATCCTGGTACATCACGATCTCAATCAAACTTTATCCTCTTAGATTCAAATTTTTTTTGGAAATATCTAAGAGTATATCTCAGACTTTATTATCAACTTTTTCAAAAATATCACTTTCTTTTGTTTTTATGAGAGAAATATAAAAATGTCTGGTACCAAGACTAGAGTCTTGACTTCTAGGATCCTATAAATTCGAACAGTAAAGTCAAAAATGAAAACTTCTGATTATATCTATGAAAAGTACTTTCAAGAATCAGTGATGAAAGTTTCAGCCCGATCAGACACAGTTAGATGGGCCGGAAGGTTCAGAGCAACCATGATGCAGTCCTTTAGAAAACCAGTTTCTCTGACAAAACCACCAAAATCCACTTCAAGTTTAATTTATCAAACACATGTTTCGTATTTTTGTTGTTCTATCTGTCGTAAAAGTTTCAGCTTGATTTTTTGTACTGTTTTCGAGAACAAGAAGCGGTCAAATAGAAGGATAGATACCTTTAAAGTTCTTTCGGAATGCTCTATTCAAACTGGTATTATAGCGATGTGATCATGTTATATAAGTTCTACAGTAATAGTAAACGCAAAAGAATTGACTAAGTTCATAGTGTGTTTAAGCGATCGAAAAAGTCTGTTCAGAAGCGCATTAAATTAATACAAAGCTCAGAAAATGTTACAACAAATTAGGACTTATTTAAATATTACAAAAGAAATATATTAGTTTCTAGAGAATATTTTTTCTAACATATGTATCCCACAAGAAAATCTAATTTAATGAATTTCATGTTTATCAGAGTTTGTGTAATTCGAATGTATTCGGTGAGAATATACGTATATAACATAAGATTTGTGAGATGGTTATGAATGATCGGTTTCAGTTGACGATTAGAATTAATAAAGTAAATTCTATGTAATGTATTTTTTTTTGTGTTAAAATATTTGACAACGATGAACTTAAGTGCTTTATTAGGTTCATGAAATTATGTCGGAGAGTGAATGCAATTAAAATTATAAGAAACAAAACTATTTAACGAGCGTCCAAACAAGTCATAGTATATTCATGTAATTCAGCTGAATTGGGAGAAAGATATTTATGTTTCTTTATTGATTTGGACTTTTAGAAATCCCTATCAAAATATTAGTTTGCAATATTTTTTCTGAAAGTTTTATCGTTTGTGTATGTCTTTGTCAGATCTTCTTGGCTTATGATTGTATTTACTATCTATTAGTAGATGAAACTATATTAATATCATATATATAAGTTGCACGAGAAAACAATTCTATGTGATCAAAAGTTTTTTAATTAAAATTCCCATCGATAATTAGAGAACACATAGTTTGGAGAAAAGTCAAGAAGGATACAGGTGTACAAGCTGTGCCTTAGCTGAGATATCATCTTTTCATCCAAGTTGTTCGACAACATTTCAGTTTTCAACCTGAAACTTTGCCTACATAAATCTTTTAAATATAGATTAGTTTGTGGATAAAATTTGAACATTTTTGACAGATTCGCTTTCATATATTAGTCTTTCAACAGCTAGTATGAATGAGAACTTTATGTCGGCAAAGGTACTGGTCAAAGAGCGGTATCATATAGCACAACTCTAATGAAAATTCAATATTTCAGCCAAATCACAATTTGCGCCAGTATCCTCTTTGGCTTTTTTCTACTCTACAAGTCGTCTACTTGTAAGAAAAATATTAGCTCGAATACTTTTAATTACATGGTAACTTTCTTTAGTATACATTTTAGAATATGTTGCATTTTTTTTGTTCGATACTCGTATGTGACAGAAACATATGTGTGGCGCTTTATATCTGATGGATTTAGCTGGTTCACATATGCTTTAGTCAGTATCAGTTCGAATCAGTGATCGTTTGTTCAACATCTAATGTATCCAACTGGTGTGCTGGAAAAATGTCGAAAGGGACAAATATCGAAAGGAAAAATGTCGAAAGAAAAAATATAGAAGTGGAAAAATGTCGAAAAGTAAATTTTCAAGTAGAAGAATATCGAAACAGAAAAATATCGAAAAAAATAATGTCTTCAGTAGATGGTGACTCTAATCACGTGTACCTCATTGTTGCTTTCCTTATAATTCTACTAGTATAGAATTTTAACCAGTAGTAGTTGTGATGACTAATATCTAATCTAAATTTAATATAAAGGTTGAACGAAGAACTGTTATATAAATAAAATTCTATTATCATGTCTGAAGCTGCTGTATCTTTACCTGAAGTAACTCGATCAATATCTGCAGATATTTCATTTATAAACTCAAATAAAGGAAAACCTTTACTCGTAGCAAATAACTATATTTTCAAATTAAATAAAACAACAGCTACAACTAAATATTGGATATGTACACTTAATGAATGTTTAGCTAAAGTACGGTTTATCATTTACAGTTGCTAAACAGAAAAAATGATAAATCGATTTTTTTTCATTATCTATATTTGATCTCTGTTGGAACGTTAACATTAACGCATATAATAAAATATGTTCTTTATTATTCACAATTCTCTGAAACATCTATCACTCAATTTTCATATCGATATTATTTTTTCGGTATTTTTCCTTTCGACATTTTTACGGCCAACCATCCAACTCAACCATAATCGAAAATATCTTATACAGTATTGTTATGTTAATTGCGATGAGAGTAACATGCCGATCAGTTCACCGATCATAACAGAGTATTTTCAAGAAAATCTAATCACATATATCGAGAAGTTACAAACTTTGATTATTTGACAAATACAGTCCAAACTAAAAATGCAAAATATTCGCGACATCCATATGTCAAATATTGATCGTCTATTAGTACCTTGATTATTTAGATAGAAAAATTTAATCTATGAAAACCACAGTTCAATTATGATATTGACTTTTATTCATCTAAAATTTGATATATAATCCTTTTCTAATTTCAGATATCATTTATCGATGTTTAATTTAAAATAAAATTATTATCAACCAATCATGTCAGGTAAACCGCCCTGTATTATATGTGAACTAAAAGGCAATTCAAATGGCTTATTTACTTGTAATGGTCAGTTTTATTCATTTCTTATTTCTTTTTAATCAATATATTTTGTGATTTTTCTAGGATGTCAACAAAGTTTTTGTTCAGATCATATTTTAAATCATTCGAATGAACTTCTCAATCGTTTCGAACAAATTATTAATGAATATAATTTAGTTAACGAAATTTTTCATGATTACAAAGAAAGAACAAATAATATTCAATGGAGAATTCAAAAGCTAGAAAAAGAAACAAATGAAATTAAATCACAAATGAATAAATATCAAAAACAAGCGAAGTAACTGAATAAATATATAACAACAAAAAAAAAAATAGTAAATACGAGAAAAATTTTCGTTTCTTTTTTAAAGTTATTCTGAAAAAGATCTTGATAAATTGATGATACGATTAGAAAAAATAAAAGCACAATTAATGCAAACTAATCAATCTAAATCATTCATCGAAAGGATTTATTCTTTTGTATGGAAACTTCATGGGTTATTCAGTTCAACAGAATTCCGATTATTTTTTTCATTACTTTTAATTATTCTAATTTTCTATTATGCTTCCTCTTTTTTACAATTATATTCACCAACGAAGATAAAATTTAGTCATGTCAATGGACCTATTCAACTTTCTGAAGATGCAACTGTAGCTGAACATAATGGTCCAGATTTTGTTTCCAGTTCATTTCGTGTTCATCAAACGTATTCAAGAGGGATATATTCTACACGATTATTATTTAAGACATTATCATCATCAAATAGTTTTATCGGTATAATTGAATCCAATGCTAACCAATCAATATCATTGTTATACGGTTGGTTTATTGGTGATAAACAAGTGATTGAACATAAACCAGAAAAAAATAGATTTTTTCAACTAATAAAAAAGTAAGAATGTAAAATATTTATATTAAAATTTGTAAAGATGTTTAGAATTTGGTTATCTTGGATTCATAATCCACTAAAACATTATTTTACTTGTGAAGAAACACAAAATCATACAATTGAAATGAAAATTGATTGTAACAAGTTAAAGATTGTATTGAACCATAAAGAAATGAATGAAAAATACGAACTTGATATTGATCGGAAACAAACTCCATTACCATGGCAAATAATTATTAAACTCGATCATCATGGAGATCGTGTACGTCTTCAACAATAAAATTCTATATTTCTTTTTTGTAATAGAAGAGTGAACTTGTATAGATATCTTTAGAAAATGATTTATTTTTAAACATAAATATTTTCTGTTCAATTCATGAGTAGTCGATTTCACTATGTGACTTTGTGCTGGAATATAGACGTACTGTTTATTGTTAAATGTACTGTGATATAGAGATGTACATTTTTAGTAAACTATTTACCGAAAGCTCACACTAACTAAACTGGATCGATATTCATCATCTTCGTAATTGAGACTTCAAATAATAATGTACTAAAAATGTTAGTGAAACAGCTATTTACCATTCACTAAAATGTTTATTATCTTCAAAGCAATATAGTCTTCGTATTCTATTCGTAAGGTCTTGATAAACTATTTTCATTCAGATAATGATCCATATCATGTAAGTTCATTGAGAGTCTTTATATGAATTTGATGCAGATTAATGTCTTGCTGATATTGAATTAAATCATTAAAATCGTGAATTTTTACTTATTGAAGTTTGTCTAATTTTTAATAAACCAAAAATTTTCAAATAATAATCAATTATTTGATTGAATTTATCAATTTGATTTACCATATGAAGAACTGTTTTGAAGATGATTAGAATGAAATTATGGTTCATCTGATTTAAAATATTATTTTACAGAATCTGTCTAGCAAACATATATTAGAAAATAAGACAAAGAGAATTCAAAAAAAATATTAAAACAAAGTTATGTCCAAAAACGAAATAGAAGACAATGTTTATATAACGTTCTTTGTAGAAAGTAGTTTCTATTAATCTTAATGTGAATATGAAAAGATTCGATACATTATTTTCTTTATAACTATTTGTAATTGCTTGTACGATGTATGATTATTATAATTTAAGATTTGTCTTTTGATGAAATTGAATGATTCACAGGCAAGCAAATAAATAAACAACAGGTCATCTTCACCTGCACTTATGAGAAAGGTTATGTGATGACTGATGCAGTCGTACATCTTGCTCGATGATTGTGCAATAACGAAAGTATGACTGAAGATATGAAAAAAAATATTCAATCAGAAATTAAAAACAAACCTTGAAAAATGATGCTTCAACCTACATCCGGACGACAAGGATTTGATTATGTCAAGGTTCCCATTGATAAGAAAAGTAAGTAAAAATGGAATTGATTAAATTGATTCTAATTTATGACAATATTTTAGCAACATCATGCGATCGAGAAGTTTGCCCCCAAAACACGACAAATACATCGAACGAAATAAACGAAGGACAACAACTAAAAATCATTCAACAAACTGCGGATGCAATTAAAAAACCAACATAATTGAATTCAAATGACATTATTTTATTCACTTCATAATAGAAATCTATGGGGAGTTTATTCTAATTATATATGTTAAATATATTTTAATACTATTAGAATATCAATATTAACATCGTACATTCTATCTTGTTGTTTCACGAATTACTAAAATAAAATTTTTTTTATAATAAAAAAATCTGACTATTAGAATAAGTAGATAAAACACACTGGTTTTCAGTATAAATTGTGTTATTTCTATTTCTTCTTACATTATTCAGACAAAATCATCCATTGTATAAACCAACAGTTATATGAAAAAAAAAAATATCTTAGACTTTTTTATTCTTTCAATCATTTTTCAATACATATCAACGCTAATGTGTTGTGGACCAAACATATTCATTTTTGTTCCTTTGATTATTACGGCTACATGAGCAATACAGCAGTAAAATTATATTTTTCTTATCTTCTAACACTTTTCTTTGCGTTTTTCAACATCATCCACTCATTGCTATATCTTTCATTGAATGTAACAACGATCACAGCCTCTTGCACGTATACTACATAATGGATGATCGAAAAGTTTTCAGACAAGAAGTTTGTTCGTTTGGATTTGGTAGAAAGCATATCTGACGAGTCAAAAGCTATGGGACAGGACTAGAGTTTTGTGCGTTTTCCGAATGTGAGTTTAGAAACGTTGTCTCAATTTTTGTTCGAGAGCGGTCAAATAACCTTTGAAAAAGTCAAAGTATTAGTTTCGACGGAAAATTTTTCCACATACATTTGTATTTTCTCAATTGTGATTCGAAACTAATAGTTGGAATCTTGATTTATAATATCAACTTATACGTCAGAAGCTACCCTACAAAATGTACTATTTGAAGTTTCTCGTTGTCTTTCAACAATTGCACCTTAGTTTTTCACTTTTCCAAGATAATCATTTTTGAAATTTTGTCATTTGTTTTACCTTGAAAGGAGTACTTTAAACAATGCTTGTCGTCCCACTTGTACGAAACCTACAGCTGAGTTCAATATCAAATTTTGTAGAGAAATGTCCATTCGACAAAAACAACCGAGATTGATACTTTTCAGCTTGTTCAAAAAGGGACTGTAAGACTTTAATTCCATTTATACTTTATTTGTATAAGTGTATGTCTCTTTCACTTTTTCAACAATCTAACAAATATACATATATATAGGACGATAACATGGGGAAATTTTGAATAAAAAATCCCATAGATGATGAACAACAAAAGAAAAACCCATAGGATGATATCAAAGAAAGAAGAACAAAAGGAAAGAAACATTTCATCACACATATATGCAAGGAAAAGAAAATCCATAGCGTTTGACTAAACAATAGGAGAAAAGAAGAAGAACATCAGTAAATATATATAATCCTATAGACAAACAGAAAAATTCTTAATAATTTTTCAGATCTTTCAAAAAGTCCTTCACTACTCTTGAACAAAATAGACGCATTGTCAAAATAAGCGCAAAACTCTACTTTACTGATAGCTTTTCTCTCATCAAAAATACTTGCAAGTGGACCAAAAGTGAACAAAAGTCTTGTCTAAAAAATTTCCGACCACCTATTAGATCACCTGTTCGTTACATTTTCCGTTTTGTGAAATTCAATAATAGATATGAACCGTGATTTTCTCAACAACAAACATCTACTGCATAAATAAATATAAGATATCAGCAAACTCGTGAAGTTCTCAAAGCTGTGACTGGAATCGATCAAAGAATCAAAAACAATATTACGCAGATAGCTAAAAAGTAAAAAATCAAATTGCATTAAAATGATGAACAGAACATAAAAAATGATCTATTTTAAATTCACTCATTACAATGAGTATTTTTATCTATTTAATTTCATGATTTTGACAAAACATGATTTTTTGTCCATTAGGTTCATTAAAATATTCAATTTAATCACTAAAATTGAAATATATCAATTTTTATCTCTGTTTCATCATACAAAATGCTATTTTTTTTTCGTGTTTTTGATATGAAATTCATCGATTCTTTTTTCACTTTTTCATTCCATAGGTTACAATCCTAAAAATAATTATTGTATACTTAATGCTATAACAGTATGTGCTTTGCTTTTGGTTTACTAAGTAATAAAAAACAAACTAACTTTTTTTCGATTGATCAATTTTAAAGATTATTACAAGTTTCTTTTCTTTTTTAGTTTTGTTTCTGAGTTCGTAGTCAGCCATTACTTTAGATTCCATGAGAGAATCAAGAAGTAATAAAAATGACTATCATAACAAACAAAAAAAGCAAACCATAAGAGAGCTTAAGAGATTTAGTCATTATTATCTTTCGTATCTTACATCTGATGTAGACGTCGGATACACGAAACAAGCCATCAAATTAATCAATTTTATATGATTTCGTATACCATTTTATCCAAAAATCGGAAAAGAGCATATTAAAAGAGTATAACTTAGTGATAATAAAATCTTGTAAGCTAGCGCATAAAAAGATATCGCTAAGATCATTATATCAGTCTTAACCAAATATTTTGACTAGGTCCTTCATAAAACATTTAATTTGAAGCTGATTGGATGGTTTCTGTTAGTTTTTATTAAACTACTTTTGAACATAAAAGTAATATAAAGAAATTAGGTAACTTTTGACAAAGTTATAATTTTCACATGAACTATAGGCAAACGACAAACTTTTGAATTCTAGTAATATTCATCATTACATATTCTGATAACATCATTAATTAACATGTGTGATGTAGTTTAGCAAACTTTCTAAGCTTGTAACAGTCTTCTGTATTATTTAGAGTTCTTAAAGTATATAATTCTTCTACTACCGGCTAGTATTTATTTTTGTCTATCATTTAACTAGGCAGTAGAATGAATGAAATGGTCAGTTATTAAAATAATTAGGTTTGTTGACATAGTATTTAAAAATCAGTCAATTAAATTACATGCTAAGTATAAAAATTGAAATATGTCATAGGATGATTCAAAGAGACGCTTGACGTGGTGTTAAAGAAATAATAAAAGATATTGAAATGCTTCAATTTGACAATTATATTCAAATTAGCATCAACATTATTTATGAACAAATAAAACATGAACAATAAGCAGAAAAAAATCAACCAATATTAAATTTTGAAAACTATTTTGATAATGAATATGGCTCATACCAAATAATGTTTAGTTTGAAGGTATACAACTGCATGCACCAATAACGAACAGCGTTCTAGAGCCAACGAACAAAACAAGTAAAGCTAATCAAATGTTTAGAGAAAGTTATATTTTAGTAGTTTTTTTATAATAGCTTCAAATATTGTCAATAATTAGTCAACGGGACAAGATCCTTCTTCAATGAGCCCAAAAATATTTGGCACAGAAGTAAGAATATCTTTAAAATTATTTACTTTCTCGTATCAATGGGCTGCATCAACTAAAAGATAAAATTTGTATTTCCAACGATTTTTCAAAAACATCTTATAAACCAGCTCGTAATTTACAATCAATTACACAAGCTGATCTAAATAAATATAAAAGTAAGAAATGACCAATGTGAAATCAATTCAAAAGATCCTTTGATATCTGATGTATGAAAGTGGAGAATGATTCAGTTTGAGGAAAAAAAATAGCCACCGTCACCAGCGAAAACAGTGCCAATCAGTGAGAAAAGAAAAAGAGATAGACCAACAGAGGCCACATCTGTTTTACTGTTACAATAATTGAATTTCCATTTCCGATTTGCTTTATTCATTTTGCGAACCTATATTTAATGTTCTTTTGAATTTCTTTTTATTTATTCAATGGTGTTTTTTTTTGTATTTAAATTTATTTTTCTTGTACTGAGTATGTCCTTATGCGAATAAAACTAATTTTTTCTGTTGATAAAATCTGCATTTTTACTGACACTTATATATAAAAAACTGAACATTTCATTTATTTTTCTGACCAAAAATGATGTTCCCTTTATTGTTAAATAGTAAATACTAGATTGTTTAAATGAAAAGATTGAAGATCCTATTAGTTAATAATCGAAAGCAATTATTAGAAAAAGAAAAGGAAGAATATTACGATCCTTTTTTAAGCTTTCATTCAGAATGTTTTCAATTAAAGCATATACGGAAAGAGTGATGATGAAAATAAGAGATTTTTCTCAAGTAATTCCAAATGGATTCATGAGAAAACATTCTGAGGTGTCGGTTCGTTTTTCTCATGGGACTTCGTGCATCTTGTAGATCTTAGTGAACTATGTCTACTATGAACAGAGTTCATTCTTATCTCCTGTTTCTGCCTGAATGGCGCATTTTAAATGAAACTTCGCTGTGAAATTCAACATTTCCAGTCAGAACATATTTTCAAATTTTTGTCCTAAAACTTTGTTCACATAAGAAATTTAATGAAACTAGCTTATATAAAAAATTTCTAAAATTTTAGACTCAGTGTTTTCGAGATATGGAACTTTCAAAAATAGGTACATTTAGAAAGATAGTAAAATATATAACATGTGTTTTTGTTGAAAGCTTCATATCTCAGAGAGATTAAGTACGAAAATATAGAAATTTGCTATACAAGCTAGTCTCATTGAATTCTTTATGCGAGCAAAGTTTCGGATCAAAAATCAAAAGTATGATCTGACTACAAATGTTCGGTCCCACAGTGAAATTTCATTTAAAATGCTCGATCTCCTAAGAAATAGGTCATAAACATGAACTCATTTTTGTGATAGACATAGTTCACTAAGATTTGCAAAGTGAACTAACATGCGTGCCAAAAACAAACTGCTATCTGAGAAAGTAACTTCATCAGTTAAGATTTGATATGAATAACAAATGAAGAGCAAGAAAAAAAGCTTCATGGAAATTCAATTGAATTCTTTGAGAAGAAAAGCGTATGAACTTGTATGTTAATATGAATAATACATAGAAATGAAGTGTATATTTTTGAAGTTGATATGAATTTGAAAATTCATCCTTTTACTGTTGATTATTTTCAAATGCTTTATTGAGTTACTCGAATATTAGCAGCATTGTTTGGTGCTTTAAGATAGTTGTTGTTTTAATTTCTCTTTGATCTCTAAAATATATTTGAAACAAAACTCTAGCTAGCTCGTAATGATCTGAATGAAAGAAAATGATAAAATTGATATAAAAGTTTTTGTGAGAATATTCATACAGGTGCAACTCTTGCCTTCTCCCACACATACTTCACTTTCCCAACCTCTACTCATTTCACACTCTTACTGCAATGAATTTCCAAATATGAACATTTTATTTCTGTACACTTTTTATATCAAAATAAATTTCATCATCCAAAACAACGTCCGATTATGAGTTATTTATCTTCAATTAAGTTTGTAAAAACTTAATTTTAGAAATACATCATAGACATGTGATCAGGAGCCTTGCAGCAGAGTTCTTTAGCTTGTATCGTTTATTGAATAATAATATACAGACATTTGAATCCTATAGAAATGGAGATATACCAAACATTCAATGCTTTTACGCTTGAAGCAACATTACTCATGCTCATGTTACATGCGAACCTTGGACTATGTGCATGACATATAAGTAAATATGCATATTATTGCGAAGGAACAAAAAACATCATAAAAGAAAAATATTGTATGAAGTATAGTAAGAGTGTATAATAGTGTCAAAGCGATAAAACGTTTGTTGAAAATGTTCTAGATCAAGTCTACTTAGTATCATCGACAAATGCAGCTTCTTGAAAATGACTATCGTTCAACTTTATCTTCAAAACAATCTATTTCACGAAATAGTAGTACTACATCAATTTCGTCTAAGATTCTGTATATATGTCCATTATCACTAGATGAAAATAATTATTCATCAAAACTCGACAATGAACCAAAAACAAAAAGAAGCTCAACTACACATTTAAGTGTGAATACAACCTTATACAATATACGTAAAAAGTGTAATTCATTAAATCAACTTGATAAATATCTTCAATGTCATCAAAGTCGATCCGAACCGACTTCTTTAGGAGTTACTTCATTCGAGAAAAAGTCTGACAATCAAAAAGCTACATTACAACCAGTTGAAATTGAGAAATCCTTAAATAAAGATAAAAAGATACTAGTGAAAAACAATACTACAACAGATGGCGCTGGTTTATCGCAAGCTGACTCTAAAAAACAATTCAATCATAATAATCGTATGCGTTTACTTAGTTCTAGTGAAACACAGGAGTCTTATACAAGGCTATTTACCAATTCTTCATCTTCATCCTCACAATCATGCTTATTTCAACCTGGTTTTCAACCGAGTCTTGCTTCAACAGAAGGTCCCGTTGAAACCGTAAAATGTTTACCACTTGCTTCTGCTTGTGAACCTGTCTTAAAATACATATATCTTTCTCCGAAAGATATCGATTATTATAAAAAACGTCAAAACGAATTACATCATACTGTTCAAGTACTTATCGAACGTTTAAAAATTCAAACAAATGAAAATATCAATCAAATATCAAAATATTGGTCTTATCTAAAACAATTATGTTTGAATGGTATTCAACCACAAACGAGTTTTAATCAACTATGTAACTATCTAATAAAACCAATCAATTCAAATAAACAATTTGAATATTATCTCAAACAAAATGATGAAATTGGGGGTTTATTACAAATTATGTCAAATACATTACATGGGGTTCAGTACAGATATTCATCGTCCACAATAAATCGGTTATTTGATTGTGAAGAGGAAATGATGATAGACAATTTACGTTCTGAACTTGAATTTTTACTTTCATCTTATTTTGATACACTTACAATAATTAATGAATTTAGTAGTTTCTCTCAAACTTCATTACAAGAAGTGAACAATTTCCATTTGAGAGAAATTATTAAAAATGATTATCCATCTTTAGTTGAAAAAATCTCTAATGATTTTATTACAAAAGTTCCTCAAGTCGATCAAATGCTTGTAAAAATGCTTAGAAATATAAAAAAACATTTATTTTGTGATAATTTTGATGTAGTTAATAAAAGTGATATTTGAAAATTAATTTGCCTCTCGATAAAGATTAGCTTCAAGTTGTTCCTTTAGATTAACTGTTTGTTTAACTGTCTAGAAAATAAGAATAACGAATGGTGTATAAAGCATGTTCAGGCGACTTTTCGTCTTTAACCTTGCACGATCATTTTTAAGATTGACATTAGTACATCCGATGTTTCATTAATAACAAAACTTATTTCATCATAAACGAGCAGGTTAGTGCTGTAACAGCTGCTTTTAGAAGTTTTTTATGTTGCCATTCTTGTAAGATTTTTCGCTTGAATTGTATATTAAGGATCATTCAAAGTCTTGTCATGATACTAAAAGTACAATCTTGATTGACTTTTTTATAAACTCTTGTGAAGAATCTTTTATACGTAAGATCTTGTACGATCCGATATCTGATTCTTTTTCATGTCGGCGGATTTTGGTATTCAAAACAACGAAAGGATTTCATTGTAGATATTAATCAGTAGAACGATGCTATTATTGATTTATCAGAGTCAAAATAGCATGGAGATAGAAAGTATGTAATAATGGAATTCTAAGTATAGGCAAAGTTGGACAGTGTAAGTCACAGTTCATCGAGAGATATGGTGTGTTCAAAAGATTACTGAACGACTAAATCAATGTGTATAGTAGGCTAACATGGTAACTGATCTGATGAAGCGAAGAATAAAATGATATTTGTCACTTTTGATGGCATGTATCCTGTCTACTATTACCAGAAGACAAAAAAAAAGTTTTGTATTAAAGATGTATCTGACAACGCAAAAAAAGCCTTTCACTATGCCAATGTTAAATAAATATAAAGACATTGTTAGACTAGGAATGGTTAATGCAAAAATTTTTGAAATGATCATGTTTCAAAGCACATCTATCAATTATAAAGATTCTTTTAATTTTGATTTTGTTTTTTGATTTATGTTACATGTTTTAAAATAAGTTTTTTTTAATCTTTCTGACAAAATACCATAAATTTGTAACTGTCAGAGTTTGGAAGTTCTACACTTCGGTCTCTCATGAGATTGCACTAATAGATTTTATTTTTTAGATAGAAAACACTTGGTTGTTTAAACTAAAATATTGAAGATTTTATTTGTTAACAACAGAAAGCAACTGTTAATAAGAAAAGAAAAATATCATAAGTATTCTTCAAATTTTTATTTTCAATATTTTGAATTAAAGGGATGCAGAAAATATGATGATGAAAATAAGAGATCTTCTTAAATGATTTCGAATTACCTCAACTGACATTAGATATCAATAACAAGCGAAGGACGAATGAAAATTCGAAAAATTACTATTGACCATGGTTAGCACTTTTATTTCAAGCAGTACAAATCTAGCTATATATTAAGCATAAGGTTCTACTTATTGTATGAGTATTAACCATTTTGTATAGATGCATACATAATAGTTTTATTGCAGCATACATATCGACAGGCCCCGCGCGAGGGACCCAAGATTGGGGGGGTGTGACGAGATTTCAAGGCAGTCAAAACTGAGGGAAGCAAAATTTTTTTCGCATCAGATCTGATGTTAATCTTTTTTTGCGGACCTAAAATGTAATCATTTTTCACGAAGCGACAACTTTTTGCAACCTCCTTAAAAAATTTGATTTTTTCTCGCAAATTTTCAAGAAGAGAACTCGAGTCCAATATGAGAAAATTTCTCGATACTGCCGTTATCGAAAGCGACCACTTTGGTGCAAATTGCTCTATATCAAGCTTTTTCAAAGGAAAAGTTGACTAAAGTATTATCCGATCCAAAATGAAAGGCAGGTTACCATTTTTCGCATAACTATTGATACGAACGAGATAGAGAGCTGCGGTTTTCACCATTCGAAAGAGCGATGTCCGAGCCATTGATCGGTGTAGAACTGATTAAAACGAAAGATATTTTTTTTTATGTGTACCTTTGGATCAACACTTTTTCTTTGAGTATTTTCATCAATTTTTAGAATAATCTCAACTCTAATTATGTCAAAATGTAGCTCAAATCATCCTCTTTTTGCTATAAAATTAACATTTGTTTTTTTTTAAATCCGCTTAGAATAAGCGATTGAGAGATAATAAAATATGTGATAATTTTATAGCGAAAAGAGGATGATTAGAGCTACATTTTGACATAATTTGAGCTGAGATTATCGTGAAAATTGATGAAAATACTCAAAAGAAAAAATGTTGATCCAAAGGTACCTATAAAAAAAGCATCTTCCGTCTTAATGAGTTCTATACCGATCGATGGCCCAGACATCCCTCTTTCGAATTGTGAAAACCGCACCTCTCTATCTCGTTCCTATCAAAAGTTATTCGAAAAAAGGTAACCTGCCTTTTATTTTGAATCGGACAATAGGAAGTTTGTCTAAGTTAACTGCGGTTACACAATTGTTATTTTTCGCAAAGCGAAAACATTTTTCAGACTCACGAAAAACTCTTTTTCCCTTATGTTGTTCGAAAGCAAAAAGTATTGCGATAACTCTTAGAGATTTCGCCGCCGAAGGCGGCCACGCTAGTGACGACTGTTGGAAAATAAAGCTCTTCAAAAAGAAGACAGAAGTAAAATTGCGTTAAAAACAGAAAAATCACAGATATTTCTAGGTCGAATACGCTCCCGTGGTCATGTTTTCGCGAAGCGAAAAATTTAAACATCCCTTCAGAAATTTCTAGCAAAAAATTTCAAAAAGATTTATGGATTTTGTTGGCTACGAATGAGTAATTATTAATTATTGGGGGGGTGCACACCCCCCTACACCCCCCCACTTTCGCGGGGCCTGCATATCGAACATGTATTCAGTCGTAATAACAAATATCAAAGTTCCAACTAAAGTTATAATTACAACTTGTTCAGATTGATAGTGACATTTTCTTTTGATCTATTAATAGATCTCTAAAGCAAACTCGTACAAAGAAAAGCTGTGCTTATTAATCTTGTCAGTGTTATATATGTTTCAAAACAATAATAACAGATTTTAGCACAACTAGACAACTCAATTCAATTCATTAACTGAGTTGAATCGAAGTGAAAAATATTTCATGACATCTATGAACTAAAATGAATTTAGAAAAAACTCAGATTTGTGAATTTAATTTAAAAAAGAAATTTCTTTTTAATTCTGAAAAAAAAAGATGCATTTACACGACAAAATCTCGTGATAGGTTTTGTAATGCTTTGCTAGATTTCGTCTTTACAGATGCATGAATTATACTCGAATATTTATATTGTACTTTCATATGAACATAATATTATACACTGTTTCATCTCAATAATTACATGATAGATAGATCTAGTTTAAGCATTTATGCTCTTAATATATCAGTGTATATTTCTATCAATTGAAGTCATGAACGTACAAATCATTTCTTTAAATATCGTTTGGTACAACATCATAACCTAAATGTCTCTAGATTACTGCTAGATACGTCAACTCAATGCGGCTGATGAATGCATTTGTTCAGTTGTGTATTCTATCAGAGCAACTTCTATATATTGTGCATTCTCCAAAACTTCCTTAGAAAAATAATACGTTGATAGAAACGATTCTGTCAATAATATTATTGACGTATATCACAGTTTTCAAATGATTTACAATTTTAGAAAAACAAAATCTCCATTCAAAACAAGAAGAAAACATAATCAAACTTTTTACTTTTTATAGAAAAGTATTTGAGTTTGATTCAATAACATGAATTTAATATGTTTTCAGAATTACTACGTTAATGGATCTAGTAGTAATGAATAAGTTGCATCATGTTGCACAATCTAAAACTACTGGATGGATAAAATTAACGAATATATAATTGATAATTATGCCATGCAATTAAACAGACTTTTTACAAGCATCGCATGATCACGTATTGTCTAGGAAAAATGAAGCTTTTTTTTGTACAACAAAATGGTCACATGTCATACAAATAAGATTATTGAATAACAAAATCGACAAATATATAGACAACAAATAAAAATATACAAGATTCTCAATAAAAAAGTCACAATATCTATTGTTGTGGAATTACTAAATCGATAACAACATTTCGACGACGCCATCGTCGAAGATGAATTTTGTAAAGAACAAAAACCAATTGATGACGAAATCGTTCTGATGCACAAATATAAATATAAAATGGACTCTAAAAATATAAATAGAAATATTTATAAACTAATCATTTTATTAAAATGTTATGATATTTACTGCGAAGCAAGTATAAAGTAAAATAATCGATAATATTCTAGCACAAGATGATATTGCATTTGCAACTCGATTTTGTGTGATATAGGGATCAAGTATTATTGCATTTGTAAGTGTATATGGTGTAATAGCAAAGAAATTAAAAACAACTTGCATTAGTACCATAACTGTTAATTGTTTATCTAATTCACGTCGAACAAGAGGTAATGTTCGATAAGATAATCTTTGTACATTTCTATATGCTAAGCATCCAAATAGAACCGTAATAGAAATTGGTAATACACCCAAAAATATAAGAACATGCCAAGTTTTAAAATATTGTTGAAAAGTTTGATTTGTAACTGTACAATCTAGATTACCGGTCGAAGGATCAATGATCAAATCATAAGAAGTAAAAAATAAAATTCCGTAAGCAAGCCACGAAATAATAAATGCTAGGCATAAACGACGAGCTAATTTAATATTGCACAATTGTTGACAACGTGGAGATGAACAAGTTGCTAAAAATTGATCAATTGTTGCCAGACATAAACATGTAAAACCAATTAACATGCAAACATGAACGAAACCTTCTCTAAATATACAATAAAATTTCGATTGTTTTGTCCAATCAATACCGTATCCATACATCATTATAAACGTGAGTAAACCGGTAAGTAAATATCCAATACTAACCATTGCCATGATGTTTAAATAAAATGCACATGAACTTTGACGAAATGTTTTCAAACTGAGAAAAACAATAACATTGAGGAATCCACCTATCACACCAAGAACAAAGATAGGAGTACCCAAATAAACTGTTACGCGACGAGATATTAAATCAGCAGTTGAAATAATATATTGTGCCATTCGAAATCGATCTCGTAAAGTGATACTAAATTTTAAAAAAACGGTAAGTAGTTTATTAAAATACATCTAATTATATGTTAAAGAATTTTTATAGAATTTTCTATTACTAACCAAATATCTATGATCCAATAAGTTTTAATTTCCTCATTTTTACGATAATCATGAACGTATATTCCTATAGTATATCCAACGCAAGTTATCTTATGCTTCTGTTTGTGCTGAACATCTGCGCAAATGTGAAACTATGTTAAATATTTACGGTATTCTGTCATCGAATGACGTCAAGTATTACTACTGGTAATATTGTGATGCTTTGTCAATAGAATAATTGAAAAAATTTTTTATTCCAAAAGAAAATATTATTTATAGATGAGGAATTTCAAAATCTTTGATGTTACAAACTTCAGAACAAGACAGTTTTCATCAAAAATTTCACGCATTAATAAATTCATTCATGTCAGTGTCTTAGTTTCTATCATTTTAGAAGCATCTACTGGAAAGAAAAATTCTTTGATAACACAACATCAGAAGAAAAAAAATATCATGTCTCTTATATTTGTCGATGAATTCGAACAAAGATAGTGGCCATGTTTCGAATTAGTAATAAATATATATAGAGTTTTTTTTAGATATAAATTGCTAATCTCGTCATGTTTTATACTAGTATGTTTTTAGTACACTTTGGCTTCATTTATATTTTAAAATCTACACTAATATTAACACTATTTACTAGTGCGTGAACGACGCATGACAAAATTTTAAAAAAACTATGCACTACAGTCAATAAATGCTAATTAAGCTCTCTTTAATCATCGATATCCGTCGTTGCTTTATCCTTGACTTAACTAACAAAAACGAAATTTTTGCCTCGCCTGTTCAATGACTAAATTTAGCTTGAAATTATGTCGTCAAGTTCGACGGCATGTATATTTTTTTTCTTTGTTTAATTCTTAGAAAAAAATAAAATAACACGCCATAATTACTCACTCAACTAATAATTGTACAATGAGAAACAAAAATTAATCAAAAGGCAATTAAAATACATCCAACCATGTTATTAAATCTGTCTTTTGAGGATAAGAATTCCATCTTAAGAAATGAATGTCAAATATGCTGATGTTTGTAATTATAACATTAATGATAGTAGAGAAAATTGAAAGAGGACAGATTTAATGATAACAAAAATAATTTTAAGCTTTAAGAGGTCTATCTTTTTGAATAATAGTCTGTGAAATAAACATGAAAAAGAACATAGAAGTGGTTATTTATAAAGTCAACCTTTTTTTGGACTAAAAAACAGAATTCGATTCATTTCCTTGATATTTCTCAATACTATCGAGTGAAATAGAAACTAATGAATGATATGAGTTTTTAAATAATAAGGCATTTAAGAACTATCGAAGAACTTATCAAGCAACACTCTTTATCATATTGATTGACTATGTTTAGTTTTAACTGTGATATATACATTGCACTGATAATAGTGTCAACTTGATTCTTGAAGATGACTGTGCTGATATTTAGGTTTGTATAGTGTAAAGGGCCCTATTTCGAAATATATTTTGATAAAATTTTGAAGCATAAAATGGGTTTATTTTCTCAAGAATATACTTTGTTCGAAGAATACTATTTCTCGATAATTAGAATTTGTCACTTAAGTTTATACTAAAGCTGTTATTTCATCAATGAATTGTATTCTGTACCATGATCTTTAGTAATGTCATAGATTCTTTTGAAATAGATAGATTTTAATTCATACATTCTTGTTAAAACTTACAATAAATTCTTCGAATGTATTTAACAAACCAACGCATTCAGATCTTGTGGAATAATAGTAGCAGACAAGTGTCAAAGTGAAAATACATGTAAATCATAATTTTCCAACATTTTATCTTGACAACTGATCCGGATAATAGTCAGAAAAAAAACCAGAATATGTCAGCAGCTTCTGAAAGAAAATTTACCCTTGAAGTAGAGCTTCTATTGTTATTAGATTATTTTTTTTAAGGTAATCTTAAAATTACAGATTTGTTCCATTGATTGATGGAAAACAAAATCAGAAAAAACTTAAATTATTTCGCGAGTGAATCGAATAGGATAAATTCGAATTTTGAGAACAAAAGTTTTGAAAAAACAAACCTACTAAAAAATAAGTCGTTTTGTCATGACCTAGACTCTTTTTTTATTTAATATTATAACAAGTCCTTTTGCTATTTACATGACGACACGTGTGTGCTCTTCTGTTCGTCGTTTCTATTGGCATCATATTTGTTGTTTCAGTTAGTCATGCACAATGCTACTAAAAATAAAAATAAATTAGATTCAGGTTAGACGAGCTATTCTTTTAGAGTAGGATCTTCCTTGTATACTTTAATTAATCTTTTCAATTATAATATCAATTAACAATGAGTTTTGTATCGTTCTTAAAATGAGATTTGTTTTTTCTTTTTATCAAATTAGATTTTGCTTGAATGAGATCTCAGTTGTCTCTACAATGGTAAAATAATATTTAATTATACTTACAGCAGTGATAGAAACATGAATTGGTTTTGATTGTAGCTTTATATAAATTTATTAAATACGTGCTTGTTAGCTAGTAATTACTACAAGAGAATTTCTATTCAACTTCCAAAATCAGAAACATGTACATGAAAAATTACTATGAAAATATGGAAAACACCACAAGCCAAATAAAGTATATCAGAGATAAAATGTTGATTGCCATCGTGTTCAAATGAATCTTTTATGAAATCTTCGAGAATACTAAAACATAAAAAGAAATTTGTAGTCAAGTTTTTAGCAATCTTCGATGGTTACCAGTAGATTACAGAACTTTTCATAATTTTTTTTCTACAATAAATATTGTTGAACAAATAAATATGTAGGATTAGACAATCCTACTACAGAAACTTGAAGAATTTTCCGTAATTTCTTAATAATTATTGAAAGTTTCTTCCAAAATGAGCTGGAAATTTATTTTCATTTTTTTAGTGTTCGCCTAAGTTATGTGAATAATTCATTTTGATTAGGTGGTAATAACTGTCATGTTTCTGATATTCGTTGCTTACAGTCGGCGACAAAAGTTTCAGTAACTTCGTTTCTTGTAATTTGTTTTTTTTTATTTTTGTTCCATATTGAGAGGTCCTAATCTGATTCAAGTGATGGTGATATAGATCATCGGAGAAGCCAACTACATCATGTAGTATTAAAAGAGACTCCATCTCTCTAAATAGATTTCTTATAATTGAAATAAATTTTTTCGAGTGCAAATGAGGTTTAGTACATTCCAATATTTTGCATGTTCTAAACAAGAGATTCGTTGCAATAATGTATGATGCATTGCAATAAGAAAAAAGATGTAGGAATTAATTTTACTTTTTCCGTTCTTTTAGCTATTCTCGTTAGAATCAGGTTTGTGAGTTGAAGTCCAACTCAAAGAAAGAAACTTGTTTCAGAAACAGATAGAGCGTGAAGTTTTTGTAGCGACTGGTTTACATTGCTTTTTATTTAAGCGCAAATTTCTCAGTTAGGAAATGCGAAATATTGAAAAGTACTCTGCCTTATTATTGTTTGAAAAAAATTATTTTAATTATGAAAAATCTATATAGACAGATGAAGTTCCCTTTGATACTATACCATTTAGTTGAACTTTCTTACTATTTATATCACTACTTAACTCAGATTAGTACCTCGTCATTTGAAACAAAAGTTTAATAAAACAAATTCGCTTCATTTTTTGTCGCCGACTTTAGCTCTCAGTATTATCCGTAGTTTTTCGATAATTTTCTACTAACTTTCTTCGACGATGTTTCTAATATAAGGAACTAATGACAAATATCCTGGTTGAAAGTTAATGATTAGTGAAATTATATGGATATTGCTGTCTTCTGTCTTGGCAATTTTCGACATTATTAAAAAGTTCTTTCTAGTATATGATTAATTACTGAAGTTCTTGGAGAAATGGCTTCTCATGTTTTAGTAGATTTCAAAATTTTCCAATGCTTTTCATTATCTTATCTACGAATAGTTCTGTACACTTTGTAAGCACTTTTATTAATTCCAGTATTTTTTAAGCAGCTCTTTTTTACGTAGTATTGGTTTCTAAAACTTGATGGTTTATGATGGAAATTTCTTTTTTTTTCAAAAACTTGAACACTGTTAGTTTTGGTTTCGCTGCTGTTTGAGAAACTTGGAATGACAGATTAAATCGCTTTGTCAGTCGAACGACTTCTACTTAAGGTATTTAAACAATGAATGACTCGAAAAAAGTTCGTGAGGCCATAACATGCGTGTTCAGTGATCAAATCAGTCCTAATGACAATACAAATCTTTATATTACTTGTCCTAAACATTATAGTGAATTTCTTAATGTTTTATTGTAATATCATGCTTCTGAGAGAGACCATGCAAAATAGAGATGAATTAAATACTGAGCAAGTAGAAGCAAATGACGAAATTAAAGGTCTTTTCAAAATTCACGAGAGATCTAAATTAGATCTAAACTATTTCGTAGCTACGATGCGCGAAGTCAAATGACTTGATGCTTACATAAAGCTTATAGAATTTCTTATGAGAATCATGAATATATGACACGATGACTTTTGAGAAATCCATTACAGATATCAATCGATGAATTAGTTACTGGTTCACAAACACAAAATCAACGTTTCTAACCAAAAATTAAAGATGAAAATAAAGATCCTATAAAACTTGTCATTGGATCGAAATAACCTCTTGCATTAATTATCGGCAACATCAGTAGTAAAACCGATCTTAGTACTATTCTAAATTATGCTCTAGCTGAAAACAGTTTGAACTTTCGTTTTCGCGACACTAAAAACTTATGTAATTCAAATTATTTATATAATGAAACACCGAAAGAAGATGTTAGTCATTGAAAAGAACTATTTCATTTATCTATTTGCTGTTTTTGAAATAGGAAAAAGAAGATGATGTTAATATTGCTATTGATGACAAAAGTTATCATTTTAAAGTAATATATCTTGAAGAAATTAATTCGAATGTGTGACCAATATTTTTGTATCTCTGTTATTCAACGACTATATAGAAATAAACTTCTTCTATATAAAAACAGCACATATTATCAAATCTAATCGAGACATGCTATACTCTCTAATATCAGAGAATTATTACTACGACGTTAATGAGTCTGTTTACATTTCTATTAGATAAAAATTGTTCCGAAAGTCCAATCTGAAAAAAATTGCAAGAATGAAATTTTTCTTTCTTGAAATAAAACATTTTTCTATCAGCAAACAAGGTGTATAATGGAAATGTGTTGTGTGATAAATAGCAAAAATATCTGCTATTGGTATCAATATCATTCAAAATCTTTACAATAGTTAGGTAGAAAAGAGATAGTAAAACACAGAATAGTCATGATAAGTTTTCCAGAAAAGAAAACCTTTAATTTTTCAGTTTTTTTCACTTTCTATGACATATTAATTTTACTAGACGACATAAGAATTATGAAAGGTCTCATATAGAACTTTGTCATGTCGATCTTCCTACTAGTGTCGTGCGGGAACGACTTTTTTCCCTAATTTTCCCATTCCCATTCCCATGGGAATGGGAATGGGAATTCCCATTTAGACTTAGGGAATGGGAACATGGGAATGGGAATTCTCATTTAGACTTAGGGAATGGGAACATGGGAATGGGAACAGAATTAAAAATTGACGTTCCCAAAATTCTTTTTATCTTATTTCAACACATATAAAAATATTTCTATCTGATAACTGTTTATTTTCAATAACTTTTCTTATTCATATACAATTAACAAAAAAATAACAAATGAGTATCAACAAAAAATAGACTATTGATTTATTCTTAATCACATCGTAATTTAATCATCACAAATATTATTTTCTTTTTCATCATCGACTTCGAAAATGACATTACCAAGATCATCTTGCGATACATCATTATTTTCTCTTCCTTCCCTCAAATAGAAAATAAAAAAAAACTATAAATAAATATTAAGGTTATTTACAACAAAAAAACGAACGATTTATCAATAAATAATCTCCATATTTATCTATAATTTTTTTGATTTTCTATTTGGGTGAGGGGAGGGGAACACTTTACTATAAGAGGAACATTCTCTCTATATGATGAACACTATGTTGGACTATACATTTTCTAATTACACAGTGGAACAGTTTTTTAAGGAAAAAGCACACCAGCTTGAATGTATAGTGCATATACGCAGGAACACCTGCTTAACCAATGCCAACAAGCACAACAAAACAGAAAAAGAAAATAAGTGAAGCATTATGTAACAGCGTCGCGATGCGCAAAACGTGATGTTGCGAGAAACTGGTATACATATATGCCAATGACACTTTCGCATAGATGAACAGAGCCTTGGAAAATCTTATGGGAACTATGGGAATGGGAACGTGGGAATGGGAACAAAAATTTTTTTCTAGGGAATGGGAAAAAGGGAATGGGAACCAAAATTTTTTATTTAGGGAATGGGAATAGGGAATGGGAATCAGAAAAAGTCGTTCCCGCAGGATACTACTTCCTACCCAATATTCACTATAGTGAGTGATCAAAATATTGTCAAAAAACGGCAGTGTGTCTGATCGATTTAACCAAACTATTGATATATTGAACATATCAATATTCTATTTCAATAGTTATTTCATCATGAATAAATTCATTTAAATGGAAAATAAACTCGTTCGAAAGAAAATTAGTTTTAATCACTACTATCGTATAATATCAATATCAAAATTTGACCTTAGATTTGTACATATTTATTACGACATTCATAAAAAAGTAGTACTTTGAAAAGCTTTAATGTTACACATTCGATCATAATTCAGTTTGTTGTCGTTTTTAGACTTTATAGCAAGCTGCTGCATCTGACCAAGCATTAGATCATAATTCATTTTTGTAATCATCATAGAGTTGATCAACTTTGTCTTTTGTATGATTGTTGATCTTCATCAATCTCGTTATTAGACTGTACCATCATCCGTTTTATACAAGTGGCAATGAGTATCTTTTATCTAGCTTACACCTACTGTTTTGTTGGTCTAATACGACTACGTATACTTGTTTCATTTTCATAAATACTTGGGTATATTCAAAAGAACAAACACCCATGCTGTAAAAAAATTATGGAATTGTTTGACTTCTGCAAGATTTATACGTGTTTTATTTTTTTGACAGATTTTTGCGATAATCTGTACCTCATTCAGAACTTGAACATGTTTGACGTTTTGTTTCGAAATAAACTTCATTTTTTCACTAATATCACACGTGTCTTTATTAACGAAAATGTTCTGAATGAATTTTCATACTATGCTAATAGACATAAACAGTATTTACCTTGTTATTGGACACTTCTTCAATTACATCTTGACAACAAATAAAAATAGCTAAAAATTGAAAAACAATATCATTTCGAATAACATACATGAAAATATGAAATTTGAAATGAGAAAAAAAGCTGTCGTCAATTCTAGTCGAGGAGAATCTTTTAAATATCTCTTTTCAAATAAGTTTACAAGCATTTATTTTGAAATTAAAATCAACATTAGACAATATGAAAATCTTTAATCATCAAGTCAGTTTACGGAGAAGAAAAAAAGAAAGAATATTTTTCTAAACAATGTAATTCTTCTATGATCTTTCAATTAACAATAGTATTTATGGTTATTTAATTTTTGTTTTTTTTATTACAATCATTGGCAATCAAAAATAGTCAGTTTATATTTCATATGCATGATTATATGGCTAGACAACATCAAGATAAAAAGCCATAATTCCACTACTGCCGATATTTGTTCGTTTCAACATATAAGAGACTGTATGTAAATTTCCACTTGTCGTTGCAAATGTTTGACTTAGAAAGATGAGAGCTGAACGACCAGATGAACAAGAACTCTCAAAACAATATCCAGATGAACATTGAGAGTTAGTTACTATACTAGCAGCACTAGAACCACATGTTGTCGCTTCACATGATATAATCCAACCAGTTGGTGTTGTTGTAGAATTTTCAAAATTAGGATTGGTCAATAACTGAGTTGATGATAGAGTACTATCAATGACCGAGACAGTATCTAAATAAAAGCTATTAGTACCATCAATTTGAAATCCAAATATCAGTGTAGGTGCAGCGCTTGTCGGTGTAAAAGAACGTGAATATGATGTCCATGTAGTTGGTGTTGTTTGATTTTGCAATGCAAGTACACCATGACCTGTATTCGAACATGCGATTGCTAAAATAAATTGAATAGAGAAAAGGATACTAAAAAACTAATATTTTCTCACATATCTGTGTTGTTGGTGTTGTTGTTGTTATTACTAAAAAGAAACAGAAAATATTTGAAAGGAAAAAAAAATTTGTCAAACTAGGATATATGTTTATTTATTTATTTTTTTTGCTCGAAAAGAAACCATTATGAAATGTTGGATGCCCTGTGAAATCAACTCTAAAATATTAATAATACACATACACGTTGAATTTGTTGAACTTGTAGAAATTGTTGTTAAAATCGCTGAAAGAAAACCATTGATCTTAATGCAATATTAAACATATTTCGATTAACTTTACTTGAAAGCAATGTTGTCACAGTTTTTGCACTTGATGATGAAGCTAAATTAATATAGTATTCTAATTAATTAGATTATTTGACTGATGACGCATACTACATAGGGCAAAATGTTTTCATCTTTGTAGGTCTCTTTCTAAAACATTAGAGACTTCGTTTTAGACGCATTCAATACAGAATTCCCTGTTCTACAAAACTATCCTCTTTGTTTTTCAAATAGTTATTGCTTTATCGGCGAAAAAACTTAAAAGATAAGCATCTACTTTATCGTTCAACTGCGACGATCAAAAAACAAAAAAATTTTTAACGAAGTTTCGTTGAAATTTCAAATATATTACAAAGTTCTCCACAAAATTCTGTATCTCTTTTGATATATATTTTAGGATTTTAGAAAAGATATATACGAGAAAAATTTTTAATATAAACAATGTGAAAAAAACCTTATTCCAGCAGAATTACATGATTATCAATCAAATCTCACGTCGGAAAACATAGTTTTCCATAATATGTTTCAAAATACTATTCAGTGTTGAATCAAAGCCTTTTTCTTTTGAACAACTGCAATGGAAGCCTTGAAACAATTATGGAAGCAGAGAACACGAAACTCTGTATCAATTTATGTCGAATACTTTAGTTTTAGCATTGGTCCGAATGAGCGATGACTTACACAGATCGATAGATAATTGTAGAAAATCAGAAATCGTTGTTAGACGATTAAGTAGGTGTTTATCTTTTAAGCTTTGCATCAATAGAGAAACTTATTTAAAGATGAAGATATTAGTTTTGTAGAGCAGGCAATTGTCTATCGAATGAACCTAAAAAGAAGTCTTTAATGAGTTGAAAAGTGTTCTAACCAGAAGAAACTATTTTTTCCCGCTTATGATGCACAATGGAGATCGCAAATGTATCTAATTGTTGAACTATTCAATTCAACAGCAATATCTTCATTATCTCGTAAAAATGAATAATAAAATTCACTGCAGTATAGAGTTCATGTTCTCTGTGTCTTGTACTACTGCAAATTGTGTTAATTTCTTTGCACAAGCAGTCTACTAGTTCGACTGTTACTTGTATTTCTATTAGAGAAAGCCAGTTTCTAATGACTCATTCTAAAAACCGATAATTTTAGACAAATAGATACATGTACAGCTGTTTGCATGATTACTTCTCTTTCCACATATCTATTAGAGTTTTCTAGTGTTATTTACTATTTAGAGTTGTCAATGTTTGATTCCTTTTTAGTAGATAGATGGATTGAATTAAACTATTGGTATAGTGAATGTTTGCTGCTTCAATCATATGACTGTTCTACATATTCTAATTTACTAATTAAAATGACAATTAATTTTAGAAAATCTTGTTGAAAACTAAATATTAAGATTTTCTAATGCAAAGCTTGCGGGATTGATTCAAACAAGATTATAGATTACTAACTTCAGTTCAATCAGGAAATTGAGATGAAGTTTGACTAAAAATAGAAGTTAGTTTATTCCTTTTCCTAATAATTACCTGCGTCTTCATCCAAGAAGACAACTATATCAATGTTACGTATACAAATTCAGAAACTACTGCCTTCACCGATCGGTAAGAAAAAATGTTTCTCTTTACAATACTCAAGTCCTAATTTGTACTATCGCTCCGATTTGAAGCTAGCTGGATTTCTCTAAATCCATAAATTTAACATATAGACACATAAAAACCTAAACGAAGTTTTATACGGAGTGTAAATACATTTTATTTATGACAATGAAGAAATGGCCGTTTTTCTGTTGGTATGAATTGAATCGAATAGAATCCAACATGAGATTTTTTTATTCATTGCGATCTTTTATGTCTCACCCACTGGTTCGTGTGTTTGTTTATTATTATTTGTAATGCTGACATATAAATTATTTTTTATTATTATGCAAAATAAAAACATACATACATAGAGTAAGACCAAGTACGATGCCAATAACAGCGCCCACAATAAGAATTAGTATAAGAACAACCAGAATCCAAAAACAAGCTCGATGACTTAGTTTTTTTTTGATAAAACATCAAAAATAAAAAGAATCGAATAGGAATCAATGTTCTACTTACTAATTTTTTTTTTTATTATCAGTATTTGTTCGTAATTTATGATTATACATCCAAGTAGTGTCCATTTCTGGTGATATTCTATTTTGTTTTTGATTGAACCATCTATTCGTTGACTAAATACAAAAAAAAATGAAATTGGAAAATGATTTTCTTTATTGAATAAAACAAACTGATGCGAATGAAGAAGTAAATCCATTAGTGAATTGAAATGATTGAACATCTCCTTGACTTATTGATTTAATTTGAGGTCGATAGGGAGCTGTTGAAATATTTGATAATCTCATAGTTATGCCGTCCACCTTTTTTTCTTACTGAATAAACTATTGATTAATACTTCATCATGTTTTTATACTCTTGAATAAATTTCTTTTTCTTGTCTTTGACAACTCATCAGAGAAGCCGGTTTATTTAATTAAAAACAAATTTCTCTTTATAGATTTCATTTGTTGAAGTATATAAAAGAAAGTTAATAATATTTGACATGAACTATATTTGGCAAAAAATAAATTCATCAGCAAAGTCATTATTTTTAATCAAGCCATAGTTTAAAGTATAAAATTTTTTATTGTTTAAGTTTTAGTATCCTTTGTAAGTTTGATTGTATTTACATTTTATTGTTTTAATTATATATGTGATTTTCGTTCTCATTGCCCTGAGTCTTGTAATTAATTCAAAAGAATTGACTTAACAGAACGTAATGAAATCTGTTGTTCCAACAAACAAAACGTAAAGAATATGACGCCGTTCGAAAAATGAACTGTTTAACTTTTATATCATATTTGAATATATTTCACATGTCATGAGATCAAACGGTATAAATTTCAAGATTTCTTTTCATATTGACACTATCATGAATTGACTTCTTCATACTGTAAATACATGTTTATCTGACAATAATTGTATTTTGCAAATCATCTGTTAGTCTACGAGAGTTTATTGCTCAATACAATTAATGAAAAATTGATAAACAATCGACAACGAAATAAATGTAAGGAACCATTCATAGAGCTATTTGTTTTCACAACAATTCTCTATCATTTCACTAACGATGAGTGAAAATTAATGGTGAATGAAGTTAATTTCTTTCGAATATTGACTTATACATGCGGAATTTTCACTAAGTTAAGGATATGTTTTTTTGTGACACTCGAAAATTTTTATACAAAACCATAATTCAATTTTTTATATTGCATACGATAATAATTGTTTTTTTTTCAACAGAAAAACTGATGCATTTTTTGTTGCATAGCATAAGACTAAAAACAAGGCAGCTTTCTGCCACACAAATATTTGGCTTACAAATATAAGGATCAACGAAAATTTTTCTTTGATTCACCGAAACAGTACGTAAATTTCTTCCAGTTAATTAACAAAAGAAGCATCGTTAGCTATACATTGAAAATCTTTTGGCATTGTTTTTTATCTATTGTCTTTGAACTCAACAAAAATTTTATGTTGTGCTATCGTTCATTCGTTTTTCTATGATAGTAAATACTTTTTATCCCACACTCCTTATTCGATGTTATACATATGATTGACAAAACGTGCAGTTTTTCTCGTTGAGAGATGTCTTATTAATTTTGAAAATGAATTAAAACTGTAAAAGTTATAGTTTACAGCTTCATCATTTCTTTCTCCAAGGACTCTTTACACTTCAAAAATCAATCGTTGCTTAGGTGCATTCTTATCAGATGAAACTTTAAATATATGGTAGAGATACATTGAAAAGGCTGTAGTAGAATTTTTAGCCCTTAACCATGATGTTTTCGAGAGATATTCAATAAACAAGTATTAAAACTGGCTCATGCGGCAACCCTAAATTCTCTATGGACCTTCATCATAAATGCTTAGTTTTTTTTTAATTTGAGAGAGTCTCATTTTTTATCAAATCTTACTTGTTAAATGGAAAAAGAAGATGAAAAATACAATGTCTTAAAAAAGTCTCAAAAAGAACAGGCGATCTAATTATAAAAATACTCTTTTATATAACAGTAAGAAAGCTTTACTCAACAAAACGAGACTCAATCATGCCCTGCGTCTTGACACGTTCTTCCGAAACAAAGCGTTAAATTTATATAATGAAGGTTCATGAAGCACTGTGGGTAGCACGATCAAAAAAGCGCAAAATATTTCTTGATTTTTCAAAAAAAAAATGTGTCAAGCAAAATGTAACGGATATCATTGCAAATTTTAACAAATAACGAGGTGCCCAATAAAATATATCGTTTATGAAAAATTAAACCTTGGATCATCTTTCAATGCTTTTATCCGAATTTCAAATTTTTCTACCGAAAAGTGACTTTTTTTAGGGAACTGTGGCTTACATAAACTTGTGCAATTTAGATAATTAAAAAAGAAACATTTGATACCAAATCCGAATGCAAACACAGAAAATCTATTACTTGTGATTTTACTCATTGATGAGATGCTTGCATTGTATTCTTCTAGGTGTAGTGCAAATTTGCAGCTCAAACAACGATTATTTAGACACAAAATTGAGATTAAAATAGAAGAAACGTTATAGAATGAATTTAACTCCTTCAAATGTTATGCCATCATCTATTTACTGAAAAAACTCGTATGTTGAAGTAAGAAATGTAATTTGTTCCTTCATGGAAACCACGAAGTTTTCAAATTATGTAGTTAATATAATTTTTGTAATATTTTTAATCTTGTTTTTTCTTTGCTTATTTGATTTTCCGACATTTTCTATAAGATAGGTATAATAATATTGAGTATTGCAAGAGTGACAGTCATAATGAAAACACAGTCGTTGAATAGTAACGCTGCCCAACATATATGCCAAAGGTATTGAGTCTAAACCTGGACATCATCAGCCATATAATGACGTTAAGCAAGTGATGAACAATATTTTGCTTCGAATTACCAGTCTGATAGCACACTGATAACATAATGACATATACTGGTTCTAAGGTAGTATATATGATGAGCTCAAAGAATTGAGCGAGAGAACTCTGGGTTCAGGCAGATTTCATTTTAGTGCTACAACTAATAATATTTTACGGAGATATTGGGTTAAAGAAAGTGCTTCCAGGTAGCAACAGCACCTATACCGTAAGATAGTTGAAAGGCTAGATAGATGTATTCTTCATCTTCATAATCATAAAAATAAATTCTAGCACAATTATAAAAATTTTATCAAACAGCAAGCTTATTCAAACGTAGATTAACGAATCTTTTCATGATCAATGGATCGATTCTATCTTTATTGATTCCACAATGAGAGAGAGAAAAAAAAAAATCAAAAATACATATCATTTTCTATTTACTATTCAAATGGTCTATAAAGAAATTGTTCATTCTTTTCTGTTTTATTTGCACATGGTGGATATGGATCACCTCGACAAGCAAATAATAATTCCATTGTTGCACCGAAATCTTTTGGATGATGAATACACCATCCTGTACCTCCATCGATTGGTGGTGAACACCATAGAAGAGAATCTCTAACAAATATTTCAAATTGTGATGAAGGTGCTGGTAAATTAGTTGGTATTGATTCTACAGCAAAATTTAATATTCCATTAATATCTTCATATGTTTTATTTAATGAAAATGAAGTATTTGTTACGGGTATAGAACGAGTCTTTTCATGAAGAAGAAAATTGGGTAAACGAATACGTTCATCTGACCAATAAAGTAGAAATTTTTTCACATCAAATTGAGAAAAAATTGTAGTAGTAGTTAAATTGGATGCAAAAGCAGGTAAAATGAGTGTTCGATTTTTAAGATATGTATGTTGTAAAATAAGTAAAGCACGAATAAGAAGATTTCGATAACTAATTGCCATATTTCTATTAAATAAAAACAAGCAAGAATTATTCATGTTTTTGTTTTTCAATGAAAACTCTTTCTTTTTTTGTTTCTTACGTGTTTGATATTGTAACTGTGAAATATTTTGCATTTACATCACCATGATATTTTTTTGATCGTATTCCAAGTTTTGCTGCTTGATTAAATAATATAAAAGCACTACCATCAGTCATTAAATGTGAAAAATGATTTCCAAATACATGAGTTGTCCAATTTAATGATGGAGTAGGTTTTACTGCTTTCAAATAAGTTTTATCAAGACGATCGTAATTTTTAAGTAAACCATCAAGTACACGTTGATCGGATAAATAAGCACCTTTACCATAACTTAACCAAAATTCCGCAACATAGGAAAAAAATTCTATGGATGCAGTAGTCGATCGAACAAAAAATAAACCAATATTAACTCTTGGATGAGAACCAAAATGATCACTTATTTGTAGATCATAAATATCCATTGGTTCTTTTAAATTGGCAAGTGGATTTGCTCTCCTAGAAAAACAAATCTAAAAGTCAATTTTCTTTTTTTCTTTTTTTGAAAATAAAACAAATTCATACCAAAAGACATCCATTTCGCTAAGAAATACTGAATAACCCATTTGAACAATTTTAGCTGCTGTATTAAATTTTGCATGACCAACACGATAAAGTGAATGTTGTCGAGCTTCAATTGAATTTATCCATTTTAATTGTTGTTCAAATGTAAATGTTGAATAATATACGGGTACACCTTGTTTTGTTGCTAAAACAACAGCTATTTCATCCATAGCAATAATAAAACAATGACATTTATTCGTATCATTCGATATTTCATGCATACGTTCATACCAATCCCAAGCAAATAAAGAATAACTATCACCACCAATTATAGTTATAATAACTTGTTTTAATACATTTGAATATTGTTGAAGAAGTGAAAGTAGATGTTCATCACTTGAATATTTAGTAAAGGAATTTCTTTCAATATTAGTTGATGGTTTTTGATCTATTACAGATGAAGCTGTTGGTTTTAATGGATCTATTAAAGAATTTGAAGAATTTTTATTTTATACGTAATATTCAAGATGACATGTTTTAGAAATTTTACGAGATTCAAATGGAAAATATAATAGAAAAACACACTTTAGAGTGCATTTTACTGCGTTTAAGATTTTAACTTTGTTTCATGCACTTGCTTTTATCATTCAAAATAGATAGCACAGTATTATATTAAAATCAATTAATTTGTGTGTAAAAAAAATCTTTGCATAATCTATCTAGTCAATCGTCGTCAACTGATCAGTTACTAAAAGAGAATCAAAAATAATCAGCTAGACTTAGAATTTCTTCTCTTTTAACAATATATTCAAAGTTTTATTTTTGACTCGAAATCAATTCCTTGATAAGGAATCTATAATGAAAGCCAAAAACGAAGTCTCTACAGAATTTTTCGTACAGTTTAGTTTTGTATTGTTTTCCAACGATAATAAATTGCCGCAGAAGAGATCCGTCTTATTTATTTCTGCATTTCAAACAAAAAATTTTCTATTTTATATTTGTTCTGTTGCTATTCGCTGGTTATATTGCCGTTTTTCAGTTTAACATTATTATTGTTCTAACCATTGATTTGACTAGCAACTAAACTTGTTGTACATACACATTTTATCTAAAACAGGTCTCAAAGCACTAGGATGTATCTCAATGAGCTCAAACACACTGATATTGGTGAATTTCTAAAACTATAACTTGATCAGTTCACAGTTTTCTTTTGTTGATTATATGATCACTGTGGCGAATGAATACAGCCTTATTCATCGTTCTTAGCATCGTAAAAATGGATGTTTATGTACTCAAAATTTAAAAACTGTCCTATTTAGAACATTAGCAAATGTATTTCAGCCATGCAAATTTCGAGTGATATTTTAGGATTCTCTATAACAATCTAAGTATTGTCTTAAATGCCGGTCAGTGCCTTTTTCGTTGCTATGGAACTCTGGGAAAAGAGTCTGACGCATTTTGTTCTCGGTGGCTGAGATTTGTAATGGAGAGAAGAAATTGCAAAATTTTGACTTGAAACTTACACTCATTATTTTCTTCGAGAATATATGTAAGGTCCACAAAATATCCGATTTGCTTCTCTTTCTAAATATTGCTATAGACGGTCGAAATCTACTTCATTCTTAATACATATATTCAAAGAACAACATTTATTTTAGAAAAATGTCGTCTTAGGTTAAAATTAAGCGTTCGAGAAGCGCTTTGTCGGTTTCGATTATTATGATTTTAATTTAATTTACTATAATTCGTGATGTTGCTAGAAAATTAAATTCTTTACAATATTAGAAAATCAACATTATCTCCGAATCTCATATAGAGAAATTATGAACGAAAGAAAAAATCTCATATGCAATGCAAAAGTCTTTGACAAAATGTGAAATTCTAATATATCATATTGTTGACTTCTAAATCAATTAAATGTTTTTGTTAGAAAGACTAGTGTCTGAACTACAAAATTGTACTATAGATTTTTCTCAGAAAAAAGCTGACAAAGCGGAAAACCCACATCCTGAACACTTTCAAGAACGTTTTTACAACGTTTTCTTCCCACTTGAAAATTCTATATTTTTGAATTATTTTAGCTACATATTGGAATTGAATTAGAACAGTAACACACCAAAATGTAGCACAGTAAAAACCCTCTCGATATTAGCTTTGGTAACATTTTTTTAGTTCTGTCCTTAATTCATTAATCGAAAAAGTTCAAAAATGAAATTTTTATACAATACAGGGTTTTCTAAGAAATATAAGTTTGCAAGAACATCAGTCATCATGTTCAGAACTCATGCATGAACTAAATTCTTTTTCATGTTATTTATTCAAAATATTTTACATCATAAAAATTTAGTAGAGAAAATAATTCAAAGAACAATTTTTTAATGTTTCGAAACGATCAAATAGTGAGCACTATCAATTTATTCAGTCTTAGTTTTTTTGAAAAAAAATCTATACCTAGATGTAAAAACCAATATTCAATTTAACTTCTCATGCATCATTGACAAAAGCATTCTTTACACTACAAAAGTGAGCATTAAAAGCATTTTTTTTTCATTTCCTTTCCGATATAAAAGCATAAACAGAGAATAAATAATTCCGTTGTTCGACAGTCAAGTTGCAAGAACTTTTTTGAGCGTATTTTGTTTTGAGCTTTTTCTCTTCGTCATATTCCTTGTGAAAAAAATATGTGTGATATAAAATTTATTGTTCAGACATTGCTCTTTCTAAGAAAAAAAGATTAGCTTAGCCGTCGGCAATATGATGTAAAGACTTTGACATTTTTCCAAAGAATTTTGCATTGCATATTAGTTAGCTTAATGGAAATGACATTTTCGATTTATTTTAAATGTTTCCTCATAACTAACCAACCGTAAATTAGAAAAAAAAACTCTGAACACATACGTAGAAACGTGAGCAAAGTCAGATTTCAACTCACTGCTTTGGATTCTCTTTAATGACACGTAGATGTTTAAAAAAATGAGCAAATATATTTATCAACATCGTATAATTTACCGTTTTGAACAAATATCATTTTTAACTATCACCAAAACTTTTTTCTCATTGAACTAACTTTGAGCCAGAAAAAAAAATTCTGAATGTATAATTAGAAGAAAAATGAAATCTTGATTGTAGCTAATTAATTTTGATTCTCTCCAGTGGCATATCATCTGACAAAAACGTATATTCATTTGTCCACGTGCAGCATGAGATGTTTTATTTATTTGCTCATTGAGTGTTAATGCAATTAGTATGTGTTAATATCATATATCGTTAAGCTAAAATTCTTTCTGAAAGAAAATGCTAACAATTTTCAATCCTAATATAATTGAGTCAAAAATGCATACTTTTAATATTGATAAAAGCTACCTAAGTTAACCTTGTCACGTAAAAGACAATCATTCAAATGCATGTGAATGTAATCATAACTCTTTTTTAATAAATCGAAAAGAAAAGTCAGACATAAATAGTTTTGATGCTGTCTCTAAATAGACCATGTTGTATTTATTGACAATATGTCATTAAGAAATCTCGAAATATGATAGTTCACTTTATCCGAGAAAAAAAAAATTATCTCATAAGCTTTCAAGTTAATAATACCTGTATGAGTTGTTTTTTCTACTGTTGTAATACTCGAAGAAGATAATATTTTTGGCTGTACAGCAATTGATGATGGAATATTGTGAATTAATTCTTGTCGATGATTACTTTTACGATATAAATGTAATGAAAATAAAGATGATGAGATTGTTATTAATATTAATATGATTGCTGAGTATGAACGTATACTATGTCGTATTCCTCGTAAATGAAACATGATTGTACAATTTTGATTTATATGTACTCCCGCACAATAGTGAACGGTGTCTATTTATTGATCGTTATTGCAGATGAAGAGAAAAAGAAAACATGAGAGTAGATGCACACGAGGACGGCTTTTTAAAGGTTTTGTTGTAAAAAGAAATTGAAAAGGAATGAATGAATAATAATGTTTATGAAGAATTTTTTTTCCTTTGCAAAGAAAAAAAATTTGAAGAACGACGCATAAAATGTAAATTGAAAAGACAAAATCTGATTAAAATTGGATGTTTGATGATACCTATCCAATGTTTGTTATATTTTGAGATTTTATTTGGTTTTTATTTATTGAACAGCTATGGTTATCAGCTTTTAGTATATCTTTTTCTGTTTTTTTTCTCTATCTGTACATCCTCATTATTAGAGAGAGTAATAAACTATGTGAATGAACATTTTGTCTTAATTCTACATAAGTATATGGGCTTTTTTATACGTCTTCTTGTCTTTTTATAGTTAGAAATTGCAACAAATGCTTGGTCTCTATAATATCGATGGCTTTTAAAGTTTAGAAATAAATGTGACGTTCATCGATGTTGCTGACAACAATATTTCAAGAATATAGATTACATAATTTTGATAAATATGATAAAACAGAATAGATAAATATGCAGCACATGAAAGAAGTCTTAAAAATGAAATTTTCAATCTAAGGGATTCTTGAAAACAAGAATACAAATTTGTTTGTCTATGTCTAAATTGTAACAGATCTTTCCATTCTATTTCAGAATATAATAAGATTAAAAAATTCGGAGTTGTTTGTAAAAATCAAATATAACAAATCTTAAGTAATATTGTTCATACTATCATATAAATTAAGAGTATTTGGCTGAAGATATCAAGTGTATGTATAGAAATAAAAAATATTGCTGCAAAGGCAGTTCTGAAACAAAGAATAAATAGTTTCGAACGTCAATAATGAAAAAGTTTTGATAATAGCACGTATTTCATTTGATTACCGAAGTCCGCAAGTTCAGGTAACTGTAATACAAAAGAACTATACATATGAAGGTACATGTCAAATAATATCACTCGAGATTTATTTTATACGTAAAGAAAAAAAAACGAAAACGGATCTGAATGTATATTTAGTATCATATAGCATGATAAGAGTAACAAATGAATCGACCTTCATAGAGAATGATGAAAAATTTAGTTTTTTTTCAGTATGTTTAAATTTTTAAGAAAAGGAACTCTCAAGCATTTATGTGCCACATGGTTCGATACATCGCAAAATGATGAAGTTGCCAAAGTTTATAAAAATTATTAATTTTACGACTATGTAATTATCAAGTTAATAAACATTGTGGTAATTTTCTTTTTTAGAAAACTGAACGCTCCTCATAGGTCGACAAAACAAATACTATACGATCTGTTGAATAAAAGTTTAAAACTGATCTATTCAGTTGAAACGAATCAGTTGTCTTCGATACTGTGAAATAAGAATAGCAGAGAATTGACGAATTACTGTATAGTACAAATAAATGTACTAGTTTAATTAATATTCAGGTTTGAAAAATTATTAAATCTGAACCAAACATTGATCGATGAATAATTTCAAAATAAATCAATTAAAAAAAAGTTACTTTTTTTGTCTGACATAGCTTGACTACTTCATACGATACTCATATGTAATTGAAAAATAAGAGTTATATGGATTTGTTAGAAAGAAAAAAACAACATCGAAAGTAAAAAAGTATCAAAAATGCTATTAATGCAGTTTCAAATACACTTTCATCAATACAGCATGAATAATTTGCATTAGTACCTATATCTTTCACTAGGTGCTCTCGATGAAGTGTGACTGGTCTTTATGGTATTGAGTTGATATTTGGATTCATGAATGTGACAATAGACTCTGATCACGAACACCAACATGCTTTTCATCAGTTCTTATGTACTGGAAGTATGATTTACACAACGTCCGTGTCTTGTGAAAAATATATTCAGCTGAAATATGGATTCAAAAGCTTTTCGTTGGTCATATTGCTATTTCAAAAATGACTATTAGTTTTTTTCAAGCGTCAAAGGCAGTGCCATGTGTCTTTTTAATTATTACCAAAGTTCAGGACACATAAACAAGATCTTAGTAATTAACATACTGTGAAATAGTGAACCCATAGGGTACCTCTAATTTGACTACACTTAATGCTTTGTCTCTAAAACTTTTAGAATAGACTTGACGTGTAACGTAAACTTTATAATAAAATTTTCAAATGAATTTGATCAAAGTCATCATGGAAAAGATCTATCTTACTAAAAAAAAGCAGTATTTGCTCTTCAACAGATGTTATTAATGAGAAGACAATATTTCGTTTGTTTCGAAGTGATTTCTAACAAAATTTTGACTAAATGTATTGATGACAATGATCTTTCGAATGAATAGTTTGACGAAAATACTTGTGTCAACATGATTGAGATCAGATGGTCACAAGAGAAAAATAACACATGAATCATAACTTCAGTACATGTGGACTGATGGAGAGCATGTTGATGCTTGTAATCAAAGTTTATTGTTGCATGTATCCACGTATAATATCATAAAGAATAGTATCACTTCTTGAATAGCATTTACTTTTGTCCAGAACTGGATATAGCATAAATCGATAGTCTTATCTAAGAACTTTTGTAAAATATTTTGTTTAATAGATATTTATTTCTACAAGACGAAGACAATTCTTTGTTTTAAATAAATAATATGTTTTGATCAACTTAACCATAATAGAGATGCTTATATTGAATATAATTTAAAAATACAACTCATACAAGAAATGGCATAAAAATCGAATACACTGACATATAAGTGTATTCTTCAATTATTAGTGTTTCAATTTTACTACTTAATTAGAAAACAAAAATAGATGATCTTATTATTGACCGATATTATTTAAATTTATAATGCTTTATCGTATCTTCACGTTGTTAAATTATATCTATTAGAATATTATTTTTATGAGAACTCAAAATAGAATCGAGAAGTGAGCCATATGGTCACTATAAGCGCAAAAATTAACTAATATAGCTATACAATTGTCAGAAAAAGCAATAAAAGTAATTATGCACTATATTAAATTAATACAAATGGTATTAAAATGATATTACAAATAGTAATCAAGCAATGTCAAAAAGAGCTTTGTAACTTATTTGAATATTCGTAGAATGTTCGAAATCCACAATTATATTTGAATATAGAAAATTTCTTGATTCAGATAGTTCCTTAGAAATAAAGAAAGATATAAGTAATCTATATGAATTATGGTAATGGCTATTGCACGATGATTTTTTGAAAAAAATATTATCAGTAAGTGATATGTAGTTGAAATAAAAGACAAAAAAAATCATTTTATTTAGTGAATTTTGAACAGTATTTTGTAAATATTATAACAAATGAAATATACTGTCTCTATTTAGGCGACAAGAGCTAAAATATGTCATAAAAACTTGAAGAGAAAAAGTTAAAACAGAATAAATATGATTTCTCGTAGATCTTTTATTGTGTCAAATGATTCTATCGGTTTCATGATAACTCATGTTATAATAGTATACATAGAAATTGAAAAAAAATGATCTAATTTAATCGATATTTCGTTTTTGATTTCGAGAACTACGATGAATAAAGTTAATAGAAAACAAATCAGATCATCGATAAATACCTAGATTCTTTTTAAATGCTAATTATAAAATATTGTCTACTGTTTTTCAATGATCTTAGGTGGCAATGTTTGTCAGCACAGTCTCTTTCGACTCCATACGTAAAATTCACAGGTGTTCTTTAGTGTCCGTAACCGATAAAACGGATGTTCGTAAGATAAAGAACGGATGCTCGGAATTGACATATTAGTCTGTCAAAGGATGTCCGTAATCGATAAAACGGATGTTCGTAAGATAAAGAACGGATGCTCGGAATTGACATTTTAGTCCTCCAACGGATGTTCGGAAAAAAATCTCACGGATGTTCGTAAGGTAGAGAAAGGATGTTCGGAATGAATTATATCATATAGCAAAGTTACGAAAGATGGATGTTCGGAACAGAAACTACTGGGTGTTCGGAACGCAAACATAGGAATGTTCGAGACAAAATAAATAGTGGGCAAAACGGACTTGAACATATATGTCAAAGCTGATATGGGAATTCAGTTGAGATTAGAATGCATGAAAGAAAAAACATAAAAAAAATTTTAAAAAAACTGCGCTTAATAATTGCAAACATACTAAAAACCCTTTTCTCTGAAAATCACTTACAAATCTAATCTTATGAATTTCATGGGTTTGTACGTATATTAATGTAAATTATTTTGATAAATAGAATATAAATAAAATGTTGAAAAGAAAATTCTAATTTCATTTACTCAATATTCGTTTTCTTTGTATCGGAATTAATTAATCTTACTGTATTTTGTATTAATTAAAAAAGATACTTTACATCTCAATAAAGGAACATTTCCATCAACTGATTCCTTAAACTCATATTAAGTGTGGTTACATATTATAGAACGAACAACTAGTTATATTCTTAGTTAATATTTTGCAGATAAAATAGAGCAATAGATCTCATAACCTCTTCTATTAGTTTAGGTAGTATTTTTTCAGATATCTAAACAACAACAGAAGGTTATTTAGGATTTTGTTTATTATCTTTATCTCATTCATATGCTCTTTAGGCATAGAAGATATATAAAAGAATAAGATAAAATACAAGTGAACGTCATGAAAGCAAACATTTCTTCTCTTCGAGACATATCTTGTTTAAGCTTTGATGTTCTAATGCATTAGCTTTCTTCCTGTATAGATCAGGTGTATTTTCTTTCATATTCTCTAATGATTTGTATTCTCATTGGTACTTTTTTGGAAAGACATGGATGGCAGTATGAAGCATCAATTTTTCGATTGATTCACACCTGTAATATGAGTTTTTAAAAATCAGAAACTTGTTGTGCCAGTTTTTCTGTAACAAAACGGCAATAAAACGATTCATTTTGGGCTTTTTCTCTAATCTAAGAGCTTTCTTGATGAGCAAAATATAAGCTCAAGCAAAGGGTATAAACTGATAATCTTCCTTTGTTAGTTTATTGGTTAAACTTTTCATAAGTCTTTTTCCATTCACTATTTCTCGTACTGTAAAAATATTATTATTATTGATACGTCTTTGAATAGAACTACATTACAAATTTATACTGTTCTTTCAAATTGTCAAAGACTTCCGTCAACCTGTGAATAAAAACTTTCATTTAGTCACTTAGTACTCAAAATTCATCATTCATTGTGTTCGATAAATCTACAGTGTTTGAAATATATCATTCTTTTGGATCAAATCTATAACGATGGTATCATCAGATAATAAAAATCTAATATTTAATTAGACCATGTACAATGGCAAGTTATTATTTACATAGTTGTCAAATTAGATTCTGTAAGGTATTGACCTCATGATTCGAACAATGGCACTTAACTAAATGTAAGGTAAATATTTCACTTAATTATTTAATACTTTTGCAAATTTTCCATACATAAAAGTTAGTTTTCAACATCAAAATGAATTCTGATACTGATGATTTATTTCTACATTATAATATACGATGAAATAATCAATATGATTATATTTTGATAACTCATACGGAACCTAGATCGATAAGTACTCTACATTGTTACATTTAGACTAATATTTTATTGGCTTTGATTTTGTTTGTTCGATGTTAATTAGTCGAAATATATTAAAAAGAATTTAAATAAATATATTCTGTTTAATGATCTATCAGAAATAATTTCATAAAACTCAAACAATTATTTGACGTTGCATGTTTATAAGAAATTTTTTTATTGATAATGCATGAGATTTACATATATGTATATGTACAGAAGATTGTGATTATTTGATATTTTAATCTAAAATAGCTCCACAAAAATTGCACCGTCGTTGTCGAAGTGCTAAACAACAAAGAATTCCGATCGGAAAACAAAATATTGCACAACATAGACCCAAACATGTAAATTCAGTGTCTAACATGCCAACCTAAACATGCACTCAATGATTAAAAGAATTAAAAGAAAAAAAAACGTGACACACGAACTTTGCAAGCTGGACATCCACCGAGGATGATCACTGTTGGTTGCTGAGAACCCAATATATAAGGATATGATGAAATATTCGTTGTTGTAGATTGATTGGTGAATGTTCCATATCCTACATTAATATTTCTTTATTTAGTATAAACAAAGAATAATTGTTTACTTTGATTTGTTGCATCTTGATATGTAGGTGGATTATCATTTTCATCTCCGATTAAACATTGTTGATCAGTTATAATATTTGATGACATTTTATATTTATTAATACTTATACTTCAATATATTGGTATATTGATGATATAAATGTGAATTCTGATTGGTTATCAATAGACATTAGAAAATGATTTTGTCCTTTCAAATTCAATAATTCGAACATTATTTTTATCAATATAAAAATATCAAAATAAATATATTTCTAATGAGAAATGAAGATTATTTTATTATAGATTTTTTGAAAAAAATTACAATTGAAGATCTAATTGAGTGTCATCGATTGGTATTTACTAGCAGATAGCCTCATTCGGTTAT